CGCCGAAGCGGTGGATAAGCAAAAGCAAAACGCTGACAAGAATGGAAGGGCAAACACTCTTTTATTTAATAACGGTGACTTAGTCCTACTGTCTACGGTTAATCTACCAAAGCATGTAGTGACTAACTTGGGTAGTAGTAAACTACTACCCAAGTACGTCGGTCCATTTCGTGTGTTGCACCGCCTAGGCAATGCATACACGTTCGAGTTGCCACGTAAGATGCGAACGCATCCCACGTTTTACGTTGGTCGGCTTAAGCCGTACCATCAGTACGCTGCTTCTTCCGATGAAGAACGCCCTTGAGCTCAAGCATCTCGCAGAGAGCCTTGTGCTCCCGATGGTGGGAATCGACAAGGGTCTGGAGAGCAGTTATCTCATCCCGAGACCGATCAACAATCCCACGAGCTACCCTTAGCTCGTCACGAAGAGATGTCAGAGATCTCTCGTTCTCGAGCTGAGCAAAGGCAAACTCAGCTCGATGCTTCGAGGCAGTGTCCGCCATTTGGAGACGCCTATTCCGCTCATGTTCGAGATCGTCGCGTAACCCTTGCGTTACGCGATCAAAGAAGCTCTTGGGAACACACCGATCCACATGATCGTGTGGAGAGCGTCTTTCGTCCTCCTCCACCTCCATTAGAGGACTCTCGTGGTGGCCAGCGCTATCTAGTTGAGCAGCTGTTGAACCACCGCGACGTGAACGGAAGTCGGACGAGTTATCTCGTCCGGTGGCGCGGCTATCCCCCGTCCTGGGATTCTTGGGAGCCCCGCTCCCAACTGATGGTTGACGTACTGTGTCTGGTCGAGCAGTACAGCGCGGCACATCCTGTGCCGCAGAAGGACCGCCGGAGAAAGTCTTCCCGTCACGGTCGTAAAGGGATTTCAAATTGTCAATCCCTTTGTACATCTCAGTAGAGATACGTACGCGCCACCACGGACTGGTAAGGAGGTAAGCCTCCTTAGGTGCTCGTGCAGAGTTGTTCACACAACACGGGCACGAGTCTCCCCAAGAGAGGCAGGGTAATCCTTTCTCCCTTGACAGACGATGCAGCTTGTAGCGTGCACCTGTCGGGGTTCGCTTTTCAAACTTGTCACGAGCTTTGATAAGTTTGTCGTTCCAAACGTCACGACCTACATCCTCAAGGTTATGGATGTAGGCGTTCCACGCCTGAAGTAGTGAGGGACCATCACGTTTGTGAATCCCACTGTACCATCGATGTCTAAAGAAAGCATCGATGAAGAATTCATGTTCAGCGCGATAGTTTTTCGCGCTGGGGTCAAGGTGATGGATCCTTGACGAATCGAACAATCGTGTTCGATAACGATCACTCGTCGTCGCCGACAAGTGATCCATGACTGATTTAGGAGGCATCCATGCCTTCTTCTCGGGAGCGAGACGCAACACATTGCGGTCCCGCTCTTCCTGCGACGTGCCGACAGAAGTACTGGCACCTCGTTGCGAAGTGGTGTCCACGGGAGAACCGGCACCACTATTAGCGCCCGAGTCTCGCGACCTCGAGCGCCTTCGCTTCGGAGATGGTTCATCTGATTCATCAGATGAACCAAAGATGCTGCGACGCAAAGCATCGTCCATGCCACGCTTGGCAGGCGGCTTAGATTCAATCGCCGTCGATACGGTTCCGTCATCCGTATCAGGAGAGTACGAGACACCGAGCTCGTACTCTGTGAAGACACGAGTGTCTTCATGACCAGCGCCTGCATCACCAAGTGACACAGGCTGGGTCGCTTCAGCAACCGATGAGACATCAGTTGGTGTGGCTTCTGCTTCGGCGTCCGCACAGAGACGTGCAGACGCGCTCTCGGCGGCCTTGCTCGCGCATCGCATGGGCTTGTTAACCATGCGATGAATTATTGGAAAGTGGATTCGGACCAACAAGTGCAAACCCTGTCCCAAATGATTTGGGACGAGTACCCATTTAGTCAATCAGTCACTAAAGTGACTGATGGTTAAGGGGGGGTGATGTGACGGGGTAGCCCGTTACATAACAATTTATAAGAAATTGTTAATAGAATATAACTATAAGAGTTATATTCTCGGAATATTGTCATAAGGACAAATATTCTGTAGCACTTACCGAGTTGTTCCTAATTGGTTGATATAGGCCATTATATCAACCAACAAAGACGCGCCACGACAGACGCACGCAATGAGTGGTGAGCAGATAACTGATTTACACATTTGTATTTAGACATAGTTAGATGAAGATAAACAGGGGGTTTGTTACAGACATTAACTATTATAAATACAGTTCTACTTTTTACTTAAACCAAGTACTCGCTTCTTCTTACCGTCTTCCTCTGCACGTACGAGTGTACGTGAAGTTCCGAGGCACCGCCTTATTCTGTCATCAGAATAAGTAGCTCGTACTGTCACCAGTACAAGCTTTAGGGTGCCCCGTTACACTTTCTTTTTAAAGTGGAAGCAATATGGGTGTCCCAGGATTGGACAGACAACGCTTGCCCCACCCTTGATTTCGTCATTTCCTGAATGGTGTCCATTTAGACGCGGTCCTGTAACGGGGCGCCGATGGCTTGTACTGTTACAGTACAGGCTACCTGCTCGGGTAAAAAGGTGCGCTGAATTCGCACGTACACGTATCGTGCAGAAGAAGATTTCGCTACTAGAGTAAGGGTAAAAATAGAACTTTATTCAGTATAGTTCATCTCCTGTAAGTAACTCCTATTCAGCACTATTTTAACTATGCCTGAATACTACAGTTCTTGTAACTATCTGCTCACCGCTAATTGCGTTCTCCTGTCGTGACTGGGCTTTTTATTCGATATAATTGCCCTTTTATAAGCAATAATTGGTGCATGACTTCTGCATCACACTAGTACTCATCAAGATAATACTGTGAGGATATGATGTCTTTGTTAGCATAATTTCATGCTTGATATTTACGTAATGTAAATTATCATGTGAAGGATGCACCCCGTTACAGTTAAGCTGGTTTGAATGAATATGATAGGTATTGTGCTACCACTGTGTGGGTCAGTTACCCAAACGCTTTCCCCGTAAGTGTAGCACTACTTGCTCGCGATCGGAGGGTTGTTGAAGGGTCGTAGATAGCCAGAGGACGTCCGAAGCCCAAGATCTAGAACGTACTATTTATCAATCCGACCAGCCATCGCCTCGAAACAGTATGTGTGGTAAAGACTCGTGTCAAACGTGTAACATGGCACCCTATGTTTAGGGTGCCACCAAACTTCACGTACACTGTAACGTGCAGAGGAAGATAATCCTCCTAAAACAGCTAGTACGAGAAAATGTAAAAAGAGAACTGTAATTAGTACAGTTAAGCTATCAATGTAAGTTCAGTTATTATCCAACTATATTAATCTATGTCGTCGTATGACGACAACCTGCTCACCACTCATTGCGCGCGTCTAGCAGCGATTGGTGGTAATCTATGGTTGATATGTCTTTTATCAACCAATCTTGGAGCAGCGAACGATTATTATCTAAAGGAGACAATATTCCCTCAATTTAATCCATCTCTTGTAATATTGGCACGGGATTGTCACGTCAGCCAATCTCCCTATTGACACCGTTTGGTGTCAATATCATGTAACGGGCTACCCCGTCACATCACCCCCCACTTAACCATCAATCACCCTTTGATTGAATAGAATTGATTGGGACAGGGTGTCCACCGTTGGATCACTCTGAGAAAGGAGCACTTGTTGGTCAAATTTCATTCATTTGCCAATTCAACGCATGGTTTCGAAGCCCAAGAGAGTTGCTACTGCAGCAGCAAGAAAGTCGGCTGCACGCATGCGTGCAGCCGGAGGGAGTACTTCTCACACCTGAGCAGCAGGTGATTCGTCACCTGTTGTTGTGAATAGTCCGCGTGGTGAGTCACCACGTGCGACAGGTACATCCGCTGCGTCTGCAGCGGGTACAGCGAATCGTAATCTAGATGAGTCTGAAATAGAGCTCATCCATTTTGGCGAGTCGGATGATGCATCCGACTCGAGGCGGCGCCTCCTGCCTCCGGATTACCCGGGGCGGACACTGCCAGAGATAGTTTGACTGGATCTGGAAAATGTGGCGGCATCATGTCCGAGATCTTCGGACCGAGCAATTAGTCTGACGAATTTTTGCATCATGCAAGCGTCACCACAAGAGAAGCAACTTGAGGAATCGAGCTGTTAACGGTGCAAGCGTTTATGCTGACACCAATCAAGAGGCCAGGGACCGAAATGTCCTGCGCCATGCTCCTCAAGCGGAGTCTCCTCAGATGCCATCATCCAAAGAGTTGGATCGAGTGACCAGTAAGACCACTGAACGGGATCGAATACCGTTGTTCGATCGTAGGAAGATTTGCCCGCCTAATTCCAGCACGGAAACTATCTGTGCTGAGGAAGAATTCTTCACCGATGAATTTTAAAACATCGGTGGTACAATGGCAGTCGTGTTCGAGACGGTAAGGCCTTGGTGCAAGGATGGAATGCCCTCATCAATAACATCGAGTGCATTGGCCGTGAGGCCTGGCTCGGTAAACTTGATGCAGCTCGCATCAGGTTTGAAAAGCATAACCCAGTCGGTGTACGATACAAGTTGCACCAACTGTCAAGAGAGGCAGAATAACGTTGTCGCTCGAGATGTGATTCGTGTCCAGGTTGCCTGGACAACTCGAACCGTGCCCTTAGGAATGCCTACCTCCCTAATGTAGCCTACTGAAGGGCGCGCATCTTAGCCGAGATGGCCGAAGGGATTGACACTTTACAATCCCTGTACTCGTGTTCGGGGAGGTCGTTTTGTGACGGCCCTTCTTTGAACGCAGCGGGTGGGTCTCGTCATATTAATCGACGAGACCTAGAAAATCAAAAATAAGCTGGGCGTGAGGCCCCCAGATGCTCAAGTCGTTGGATAGCCACGCCAGCAGACGTGGTAACTCGTCCGGACGCCATTCACGTCGCGGTGGTTCAAAATACGCTCCACCTGAGAGCGTTGACCACCGCTTGAGTCCACCAAAGGATGTGGTGGCGGCGGGAACACCTGATCCGGCTCGAGTGTCGGATCCGCCTTGATGTTCAGGAGCTAAAACGTGTAACGGAACAGTTGCAAGATGGTCTGGTTCATGAACGGACTCGGCGTTGTGAGCTTGAGGATCTTGTAAGGGATAATTACAATTGCTTAACGCACGACCGTTCAGACCATCGTGCCGCTTTTGCGTTCGTACAACTTGAGAACGAACGTTCGACTCGTTCTCTTCGTGATGAGCTGGCTGCAGCTCGTCAAGACATCGCTCAACTGCGTGAGCAGGTCGCTTTGCTAGTAGACCAGACTGGCTCGTTGAAACAGGACCACTCGAAGGTGGTCTTGGCCCTTGACCGCGGAGGTGTTCTTCGCCTCTCGAAACGGGTTCGTACTGATAGTACGGGCGGAGACGCCCAACGTAAAACTTAGGATACGTACGCATCTTACGAGGCAGTTCAATCGTGTATGCGTTGCCCACGCGGCGCAACACACGAAATGGATCGGTACACTCGGGCAATAGTTTACTGCTGCCCACGTTCGTCACTTCGTATTTCGGTAGAAGTACTGTTAACAGTAAAACTAAGTCTCCTTCATCAAATGAAAGAACATTTGCTCTTCCATGTTTGTCCGTGTTTCTTGTCTGCTTGTCTATTGCATCTGCTATAGAGTCTTGAACGAGCGGACAACCGCTTCGAGAGTCAGCAGAAATTCATTTGCTGATTCATCCTTGTCAACAGCAGTGCGCTTCGTGTGCACTAATGAAAGAACGTTGTCTTCACCAGTGAGGGCGTCATCGTCCTCACTGTGGCATTCGTTGGCGATACTGAATATACCAGCATCGTCGTCATTATCGTCATCGGTGTCGATGTGATCGACATCGTCATCCATCACATCGACATCATGTCAACGTGCGATGAGCAATAACCAGATCGGTTTTCGTTCGAGCGAGTCCACCCTCCCCTTAAACTAGAATCACACTCGAATAAGGCGGGTAAACGGGCGTGTCGTAGGCCATTCACGAAGAAAGGTATAGGCGTTGTCGACGCATGCGCCGAGTTGTTGATGGCAAATTCAGCCATCGGCAAGAACTTACTCCAACTCGTAAACGAGTGGACATACCCTCGAAGTATCTCGTCGAGAACGCGGTTGACGCATTCTGTTTGAACATCTATTTCGGGATGGTCAGAAGGTGACATCGTCAAACGTGTTCCAAGTGAACGGAACACGAATTTCCATAACACCGCTGTAAAGCGGGGGTCTCTCTATAATACACGAGCACAGACCTGGGCTGTGATCGACTCCGGTACAGCAACAAAATGTATCATTTTACTGAACCGATCAACAAGCACAAGAATACCAGTATTCTTGTGAGCGTCTTCGGGAAACCAAAAGACAAAGTTCATCGATACGGACTGCCAGCACTCTGCCAGAATCGGTAGAGGATGCAATGGTGCACGAGATGAAGAACTAGGCTTCACTCGCTGACGAAATTCGCAAGCGCGAATTGTTTGCGCACAAACTCATACTGGCGGGGCCAGTAGAAGTCACGACTTACCGTGAGGTAAGTCTTCCCCCTACCGCGATGCCCACTTGTTGGGGCATCGTGACACTCATACATGATGCGCAATCGCAAATCATCATGAGCGGGAACGACGACACGAAGTGTGTCGCCGGTGACTGCTGTATAGTACAGCAGACCATCACGAACAGAATACCGTTTGGTTGAGGATCGATATCGATACGACAAGATTTCCAAAGCTTGACCGCATGGTTTAGACACGTAATCCATCAATCGCAGAAGAGACTCATCTTCTGCGTATGCTTTTCGGACGTCGTCGAGCAGATTAGACGACGGAACACTCACTGTTACTGTCTCTACAGTGAGATCACCCCTTCTGTTGGGTTGAGCAGTCGGCTCCAAATCGGGCCAACGCGAAAGAGCATCAGCGACGACATGAAGCCGTCCTGGTTTATACTCGACCAAGAAGTTGTACTCCTCGAAGAAAGACAGCCACTTCGCCATTCGTTGCGAGAGGTGTGGACTGTTTACGGCCATGTGTAATGACGCATGGTTGGTATAAACGTTGATAGGCCTGTCTCCTAAGATATATAACCGAAACTTAACCAGTGCATATTTCGTGGCGAGGATTTCCTTGTAATGCACTGGGTAATTACACTCAGCTGCTTGCAGGTGACGCGATTGGCAACAGACGAAGCGCTTAAAGCCGTCTGAGTCGTACTGCATCCACGCTCAGCCGATTGAAAAATCGCGGCTGTCACAGACCACGTGGAATGGTCTGTCTTGGTCTGCAATTGCCAACACAGGCGATTGTACCAGGCTCTTTTTGATACCTTCAAAGGGTTGCTGACATTTAGCACTCTATGACCACCTCTCGCTTTTCTTTAGCAGACGAGAGAGATGAACGGTCATCTTGGCGTAGTTGCGCGAGTAATTGTGCAAGTACTCCGCCAAGCCAAGGAAATTTCGAAGACCCCTGACGTCGACTGGCACAGAACAGTCGCTAATAGCCTTAATCTTTTTCGGATCAGGGTGTACGACTTTTTTTTACCCACGATGCAGCCAAGAAGTGGCATTTCGTTCGCTGAGAAAATACACTTCTTGAGGTTCGCGAACGACTTATACTCTCTCATAAGTGTAAGATTCTTCCGGACGTGGAGGTTCATAAAACCTACGTCCGTCTTTCCATTCATAGCCCAGCTATGGACGAAGACATCGTCAAAGAAACTCGGTGCGAAGTCCTGCACCGATCGCAACAGATTCGTGACACATCTGTTGAACGTTTCAGGGACGTTACGTAGCCCCTGTGGCATCACTAGCCATTATCCATCCGATCCATAGACGAAAACATGATATTTTTTGACGTGCTATAAATGAAGACGTCCTTCCTTGGTGTCGGAGTCAGAGCCGGTACTGTTGCAGTTTTCAGTTTGTTGAAGGCGTGCACTACCCGCCACCCTCCCGTGGTTTTTGCAAACAGAAGGTCGGAGAGCTGTGTGGGGAAGTTGATCTCCTAATAAGATCAGCCGCCACGCGATTGGCAAAGAATTCGTCGATGCTGTGACCTGTTCAAGGAGCAGTGGCCACTGCTTCACGAGACATTACTTCTAACCAGTTTTCAGTTCAATCTAATGTCGAGTGCCTTTATCCTTAGGCAGCTCGCATGGCACAGATTCAGTGAAAACATCCCTGAATTCGACCAGATCCTCAGACAAAGGATTTGTCTTCAAAGACTCCCAAGATTGAGACGTGTATCTCCCAATCCGGGTCTTCTCATCAAGGACACTCTCATCCATCGATGAGCTACTGAGAACCCGTTCGTTATCAGTAAATACCTGTGCCGACCGAATATCGGCGACGTACTCGTCCTCTGTGACGAGTACGCAGATCTGCTTGATCTTGTCACTACGCAAATTTCGCAAGAATCTTTTGGATTCTAGCGTTGGCAACTTGACTACCTCCGAATCTGACGTTGGAGGTGTAACCAGATCAAGTGTATAAGTGCCTACACTTGATACGTCATTCACCAAGACATTAACCGACTCGGTGATTTCCTGGGAAAACACATTCACAGTTGGTCGGGGATCCACACCCCCAACATAACTCTCTCAGCCGTTATCACTCTCAGTAATGCTGGAACTTTCCTTCCAATACGTGTACTGACTGAGGGTGCACTTCCACAGTCACGTCCTCTTCGATCAACTCTCTTTCAGTCGATCGGGCTTGCTCTACGATCGACTCTCTGTTAGTCGATCTCTCTTCAACATGTTTTTATCCTGAAAAACACTAATCTCTCTTCCAAGATGCACCCTTCTCGGTGTGCATCCGTGTTCCAGTCCACTCGATCTCTTCGAGTGATGAACCTTCAGCGCAGCCTGTGTATCTACAGGTGCTGAAAGCTGGCTCCACAGTGCAGTGGCCTTCTACACTGTGATCTTGTGCAATCGTACTAGCGACCGCACCACAAGTGAGGCCATCGCACTCACTCGTAGTACATCCACACGCTTGTGGACGCTCCAAGACTTTCATCGGATGGCCATCTGATGAACAAACGGCAGGCATCTTCACGGATCGATGATGACAGCTGATCCATGGCTGGTACTTTCCAAGCCATGGAAGACCGAGGATGAAATCGAATTTGTCATCCAAATCTAATACGATAAAGTCATCATCGTATTGCCTTCCTTCTAGTGTGTAGCGGATTCCCACTTCACATTTGTTCACTGTTACGGATGCGCCTGTAGCAAGGCACACCGTCATCCTCGTTGGAGGGATCTTTTGCTCAACATAGTTAAGTCCTGTACGTTTAAGCATATGATGTAAAGCATCACATACGTGATAGCTACCTAAACAAGTTGCAATGTGTCATTTATTAAATTCAGGCGATCTGAAGGTGCGTGCATCGTAAAAGTTGATGGATTTGAGTTTAAAATGTTATAAACACAATGTATTTGATGGAAACCTCAGCTAAACAAGCAGACATTGAAGAGGCAATTGCTTAAAATTCTAGAGCATTCTTTGCCGAAGCGGTTGTGGAATATAGGCAACTGTGTGATCGTCTTGAGCTTTGAAATCCTGCAACGAGCTCTTTGTTGACATCCGAAGATAAGATCAGACATGATGTTCTTAATATGTTATACTAAGGTACATGTACGCTATAATTTTGCGGCCAGAAAAGTCGCAAACGCCGCTATTTGCAGGATGTCAAAAGCTAAAATTTCCTTGTTGTAGCTTGAACACCAAAGTGAATTTCACTTTTTATTGCGCGAATTCTCCCACTCAATGTATCGTAATCGGAGTGCTCGCTAAACCCGATTGATGAAATTGAAAACTCTAAGATTTGTCGTTTGCTGTAGTGGAGATATAAGAAGACCCAGGCGAAAGAAAATTGAGCAGCATCTCTTCATTGTATCGAAAAAATAATTTTTTTCTTTAAGGTGTAACGTGGTAGCCCGTTACATGAAATTGACACCGAACGGTGTTAATAGGGAGATTGTCTGACGTGACAATCCCGTGCCAATATTACCCGATGTGGATTAAATTGAGGGAATATTGTCTCCTTTAGATAATATTCATTCGCTGCTCCAAGATTGGTTGATATAAGACATATCAACCGTAGATTACCACCAATCGCTGCTAGACGCGCGCAATGAGCGGTGAGCAGGCTGTCGTCATACGACGACGTAGAATAATATAGTTAGATAAAGACTGAAGTTACATTGATAACTTAACTATACTAAATACAGTTCTCTTTCTACCTTTTCTCGAACTAGATGTTTAAGTAGATTATCTTCCTCTGTACGTACTAGTGTCAGTGAAGTTCCGCGGCACCCCAAACAAAGGGTGCTCCGATACACCTGGTGGCACTTCGTAGTTCATCCAACGACTACTTAGTGTCCGTTCAACATAAATACGTTGGACGGAGAAACGACAGCTTTCACATCACACTTGAAGGCTACTTCCATCTGAGTGACTTAGAATGGGAGGTAGTTGGCCACATGAGTGTGCTCATGGGCTAAACCGCCATCAGTGGTACGTTGGGGTCTCTAAGCAGAGACCAGAAACATGCTGCTATCAACATGTTACTACAAGGGATCTTGCCATCGAAAGACAGAAAATAGCCTTGCTACAACTGCAAGGCTCTCATCAGTTAATGGGCGGGCCGACACACATGAGTACACCCGAAACCCTGAAGATTGATATCTCAAGGCACAAGGGAACCAATATAGATCCTCTTTTGAGATGGCTCGTCGAGTTAGACGATTCCATTAAGCCCATCGCATCGAAGGTGACGAGATGCAAGTCTCCTTTACCCTGTCGAATTCGAGAGGACGGGCAAAGTCTTGGGCCTTAGTGCTCAAGCTTCACGACCCAAACGTGTTTCAGTCGTCAGAGAGTTTGAAGTCTCGGCTCAAAGAGACGTTTGAGCCGCCAAAGGCCGAGTTCAGAGAACGATCTGCACCCCTGAGGCTCAATCAAGGCAAGCGTGATGTGCACGCTTATGCTCAACATCTACGCTACCTTACGAGTAGCTTCACGGAAAACCCTTTTCATGAGCACACACTCATCAACGTTTTCATCTACGGCCTTGTAGATGGGCCGGTGAAGACCTTTATGTTCCTAGAGGCCTTCCATACGCTGGAAAGCACGATAGCGTATGCGGAACAAGAATACTTTAGCCTGAGACAGTATGAATTAATTCGTCAAGCTATTGTCCGACGAGTCGACAGGAAACAGGAGGTCCCGAACCACTGGACCTCTGTTACATCGAGAGCGAGAACTCTCGCTCTCTGAGTCACAAGTGAACGGCAAGATGCCATCGCTGTCAGAAGATTGGACACTACGCTCATGAGTCTAGTGTCCCAAGCAACGCATCACATCCAAATACAGAACGTGATGACCGCCGTTGGCTGAGGAAAGGTCCAAGGTGTGGGCCCGACCATGTCGCCAAGCCTCGACAGCGAGTCGGACCGTCAAAAACGGCCAGGGTCAGTAGGGGCAGAGCACCCTGCTGATCCAGCAACGTCAAGAAAATTTGCAGGACTCTTGGCGAAGATTGCTCCCAATACGCAGTCTCTGTGTGTTACTTCCCTTAGTGATAAGGAGTCTCTCATGACTTTAAAGATCGAAGTGACAAGTGGAATGTCACCTCGCGCCCTAGTTGCCTGTGGTGCGTCGAACAGTTTTATTCGACTCCAGTCGCTTAGGGACAGTAGTCTCAACTAATTGAGCGAGAGTTCCATCCAACGAGGATGACGGTGTGCCTTGCTACAGGCGCATCCGTAACAGTGAACAAATGTGAAGTGGGAATCCGCTACACACTAGAAGGAAGGCAATACGATGATGACTTTATCGTATTAGATTTGGATGACAAATTCGATTTCATCCTCGGTCTTCCATGGCTTGGAAAGTACCAGCCATGGATCAGCTGTCATCATCGATCCGTGAAGATGCCTGCCGTTTGTTCATCAGATGGCCATCCGATGAAAGTCTTGGAGCGTCCACAAGCGTGTGGATGTACTACGAGTGAGTGCGATGGCCTCACTTGTGGTGCGGTCGCTAGTACGATTGCACAAGATCACAGTGTAGAAGGCCACTGCACTGTGGAGCCAGCTTTCAGCACCTGTAGATACACAGGCTGCGCTGAAGGTTCATCACTCGAAGAGATCGAGTGGACTGGAACACGGATGCACACCGAGAAGGGTGCATCTTGGAAGAGAGATTAGTGTTTTTCAGGATAAAAACATGTTGAAGAGAGATCGACTAACAGAGAGTCGATCGTAGAGCAAGCCCGATCGACTGAAAGAGAGTTGATCGAAGAGGACGTGACTGTGGAAGTGCACCCTCAGTCAGTACACGTATTGGAAGGAAAGTTCCAGCATTACTGAGAGTGATAACGGCTGAGAGAGTTATGTTGGGGGTGTGGATCCCCGACCAACTGTGAATGTGTTTTCCCAGGAAATCACCGAGTCGGTTAATGTCTTGGTGAATGACATATCAAGTGTAGGCACTTATACACTTGATCTGGTTACACCTCCAAAGTCAGATTCGGAGGTAGTCAAGTTGCCAACGCTAGAATCCAAAAGATTCTTGCGAAATTTGCGTAGTGACAAGATCAAGCAGATCTGCGTACTCGTCACAGAGGACGAGTACGTCGCCGATATTCGGTCGGCACAGGTATTTACTGATAACGAACGGGTTCTCAGTAGCTCATCGATGGATGAGAGTGTCCTTGATGAGAAGACCCGGATTGGGAGATACACGTCTCAATCTTGGGAGTCTTTGAAGACAAATCCTTTGTCTGAGGATCTGGTCGAATTCAGGGATGTTTTCACTGAATCTGTGCCATGCGAGCTGCCTAAGGATAAAGGCACTCGACATTAGATTGAACTGAAAACTGGTTAGAAGTAATGTCTCGTGAAGCAGTGGCCACTGCTCCTTGAACAGGTCACAGCATCGACGAATTCTTTGCCAATCGCGTGGCGGCTGATCTTATTAGGAGATCAACTTCCCCACACAGCTCTCCGACCTTCTGTGTGCAAAAACCACGGGAGGGTGGCGGGTAGTGCACGCCTTCAACAAACTGAACACTTCAACAGTACCGGCTCTGACGCCGACACCAAGGAAGGACGTCTTCATTTATAGCACGTCAAAAAATATCATGTTTTCGTCTATGGATCGGATGGATAATGGCTAGTGATGCCACAGGGGCTACGTAACGTCCCTGAAACGTTCAACAGATGTGCCACGAATCTGTTGCGATCGGTGCAGGACTTCGCACCGAGTTTCTTTGACGATGTCTTCGTCCATAGCTGGGCTATGAATGGAAAGACGGACGTAGGTTTTATGAACCTCCACGTCCGGAAGAATCTTACACTTATGAGAGAGTATAAGTCGTTCGCGAACCTCAAGAAGTGTATTTTCTCAGCGAACGAAATGCCACTTCTTGGCTGCATCGTGGGTAAAAAAAGTCGTACACCCTGATCCGAAAAAGATTAAGGCTATTAGCGACTGTTCTGTGCCAGTCGACGTCAAGGGTCTTCGAAAGTTCCTTGGCTTGGCGGAGTACTTGCACAATTACTCGCGCAACTACGCCAAGATGACCGTTCATCTATCTCGTCTGCTAAAGAAAAGCGAGAGGTGGTCATAGAGTGCTAAGTGTCAGCAACCCTTTGAAGGTATCAAAAAGAGCCTGGTACAATCGCCTGTGTTGGCAATTGCAGACCAAGACAGACCATTCCACGTGGTCTGTGACAGCCGCGATTTTTCAATCGGCTGAGCGTGGATGCAGTACGACTCAGACGGCTTTAAGCGCTTCGTCTGTTGCCAATCGCGTCACCTGCAAGCAGCTGAGTGTAATTACCCAGTGCATTACAAGGAAATCCTCGCCACGAAATATGCACTGGTTAAGTTTCGGTTATATATCTTAGGAGACAGGCCTATCAACGTTTATACCAACCATGCGTCATTACGCATGGCCGTAAACAGTCCACACCTCTCGCAACGAATGGCGAAGTGGCTGTCTTTCTTCGCGGAGTACAACTTCTCGGTCGAGTATAAACCAGGACGGCTTCATGTCGTCGCTGATGCTCTTTCGCGTTGGCCCGATTTGGAGCCGACTGCTCAACCCAACAGAAGGGGTGATCTCACTGTAGAGACAGTAACAGTGAGTGTTCCGTCGTCTAATCTGCTCGACGACGTCCGAAAAGCATACGCAGAAGATGAGTCTCTTCTGCGATTGATGGATTACGTGTCTAAACCATGCGGTCAAGCTTTGGAAATCTTGTCGTATCGATATCGATCCTCAACCAAACGGTATTCTGTTCGTGATGGTCTGCTGTACTACACAGCAGTCACCGGCGACACACTTCGTGTCGTCGTTCCCGCTCATGATGATTTGCGATTGCGCATCATGTATGAGTGTCACGATGTCCCAACAAGTGGGCATCGCGGTAGGGGGAAGACTTACCTCACGGTAAGTCGTGACTTCTACTGGCCCCGCCAGTATGAGTTTGTGCGCAAACAATTCGCGCTTGCGAATTTCGTCAGCGAGTGAAGCCTAGTTCTTCATCTCGTGCACCATTGCATCCTCTACCGATTCTGGCAGAGTGCTGGCAGTCCGTATCGATGAACTTTGTCTTTTGGTTTCCCGAAGACGCTCACAAGAATACTGGTATTCTTGTGCTTGTTGATCGGTTCAGTAAAATGATACATTTTGTTGCTGTACCGGAGTCGATCACAGCCCAGGTCTGTGCTCGTGTATTATAGAGAGACCCCCGCTTTACAGCGGTGTTATGGAAATTCGTGTTCCGTTCACTTGGAACACGTTTGACGATGTCACCTTCTGACCATCCCGAAATAGATGTTCAAACAGAATGCGTCAACCGCGTTCTCGACGAGATACTTCGAGGGTATGTCCACTCGTTTACGAGTTGGAGTAAGTTCTTGCCGATGGCTGAATTCGCCATCAACAACTCGGCGCATGCGTCGACAACGCCTATACCTTTCTTCGTGAATGGCCTACGACACGCCCGTTTACCCGCCTTATTCGAGTGTGATTCTAGTTTAAGGGGAGGGTGGACTCGCTCGAACGAAAACCGATCTGGTTATTGCTCATCGCACGTTGACATGATGTCGATGTGATAGATGACGATGTCGATCACATGGACACCGATGACGATAATGACGACGATGCTGGTATATTCAGTATCGCCAACGAATGCCACAGTGAGGAAGATGACGCCCTCACTGGTGAAGACAACGTTCTTTCATTAGTGCACACGAAGCGCACTGCTGTTGACAAGGATGAATCAGCAAATGAATTTCTGCTGACTCTCGAAGCGGTTGTCCGCTCGTTCAAGACTCTATAGCAGATGCAATAGACAAGCAGACAAGAAACACGGACAAACATGGAAGAGCAAATGTTCTTTCATTTGATGAAGGAGACTTAGTTTTACTGTCAACAGTACTTCTACCGAAATACGAAGTGACGAACGTGGGCAGCAGTAAACTATTGCCCGAGTGTACCGATCCATTTCGTGTGTTGCGCCGCGTGGGCAACGCATACACGATTGAACTGCCTCGTAAGATGCGTACGTATCCTAAGTTTTACGTTGGGCGTCTCCGCCCGTACTATCAGTACGAGCCCGTTTCGAGAGGCGAAGAACACCTCCGCGGTCAAGGGCCAAGACCACCTTCGAGTGGTCCTGTTTCAACGAGCCAGTCTGGTCTACTAGCAAAGCGACCTGCTCACGCAGTTGAGCGATGTATTGACGAGCTGCAGCCAGCTCATCACGAAGAGAACGAGTCGAACGTTCGTTCTCAAGTTGTGCGAACGCAAAAGCGGCACGATGGTCTGAACGGTCGTGCGTTAAGCAATTGTAATTATCCCTTACAAGATCCTCAAGCTCACAACGCCGAGTCCGTTCATGAACCAGACCATCTTGCAACTGTTCCGTTACACGTTTTAGCTCCTGAACATCAAGGCGGATCCGACACTCGAGCCGGATCAGGTGTTCCCGCCGCCACCACATCCTTTGGTGGACTCAAGCGGTGGTCAACGCTCTCAGGTGGAGCGTATTTTGAACCACCGCGGCGTGAATGGCGTCCGGACGAGTTACCACGTCTGCTGGCGTGGCTATCCAACGACTTGAGCATCTGGGGGCCTCACGCCCAGCTTATTTTTGATTTTCTAGGTCTCGTCGATTAACATGACGAGACCCACCCGCTGCGTTCAAAGAAGGGCCGTCACAAAACGACCTCCCCGAACACGAGTACAGGGATTGTAAAGTGTCAATCCCTTCGGCCATCTCGGCTAAGATGCGCGCCCTTCAGTAGGCTACATTAGGGAGGTAGGCATTCCTAAGGGCACGGTTCGAGTTGTCCAGGCAACCTGGACACGAATCACATCTCGAGCGACAACGTTATTCTGCCTCTCTTGACAGTTGGTGCAACTTGTATCGTACACCGACTGGGTTATGCTTTTCAAACCTGATGCGAGCTGCATCAAGTTTACCGAGCCAGGCCTCACGGCCAATGCACTCGATGTTATTGATGAGGGCATTCCATCCTTGCACCAAGGCCTTACCGTCTCGAACACGACTGCCATTGTACCACCGATGTTTTAAAATTCATCGGTGAAGAATTCTTCCTCAGCACAGATAGTTTCCGTGCTGGAATTAGGCGGGCAAATCTTCCTACGATCGAACAACGGTATTCGATCCCGTTCAGTGGTCGTACTGGTCACTCGATCCAACTCTTTGGATGATGGCATCTGAGGAGACTCCGCTTGAGGAGCATGGCGCAGGACATTTCGGTCCCTGGCCTCTTGATTGGTGTCAGCATAAACGCTTGCACCGTTAACAGCTCGATTCCTCAAGTTGCTTCTCTTGTGGTGACGCTTGCATGATGCAAAAATTCGTCAGACTAATTGCTCGGTCCGAAGATCTCGGACATGATGCCGCCACATTTTCCAGATCCAGTCAAACTATCTCTGGCAGTGTCCGCCCCGGGTAATCCGGAGGCAGGAGGCGCCGCCTCGAGTCGGATGCATCATCCGACTCGCCAAAATGGATGAGCTCTATTTCAGACTCATCTAGATTACGATTCGCTGTACCCGCTGCAGACGCAGCGGATGTACCTGTCGCACGTGGTGACTCACCACGAGGACTATTCACAACAACAGGTGACGAATCACCTGCTGCTCAGGTGTGAGAAGTACTCCCTCCGGCTGCACGCATGCGTGCAGCCGACTTTCTTGCTGCTGCAGTAGCAACTCTCTTGGGCTTCGAAACCATGCGTTGAATTGGCAAATGAATGAAATTTGACCAACAAGTGCTCCTTTCTCAGAGTGATCCAACGGTGGACACCCTGTCCCAATCAATTCTATTCAATCAAAGGGTGATTGATGGTTAAGTGGGGGGGTGATGTGACGGGGTAGCCCGTTACATGATATTTGTAACGGGTTGAATTGTTACATAACAATTTATAAGAAATTGTTAATAGAATATAACTATAAGAGTTATATTCTCGGAATATTGTCATAAGGACAAATATTCTGTATCACTTACGAGTTGTTCCTAATTGGTTGATATAGGCCATTATATCAACCAACGAAGACGCGCCACGACAGACGCATGCAATGAGTGGTGAGCAGATAACTGATTTACACATTTGTATTTAGACATAGTTAGATGAAGATAAATAGTGATTTATTGCAGACATTAAGTATGATAAATACAGTTCTACTTTTTACTTTAACCAAGTACTCGCTTCTTCTTACCGTCTTCCTCTGCACGTACCAGTGTACGTGAAGTTACGAGGCACCGCCTTATTCTGTCATCAGAATAAGTAGCTTGTACTGTCACCAGTACAAGCTTCAGGGTTCCCCGTTACACCTGGTAGCACTTCGTAGTCCGTCCAAGGACCGCGTTCACATCCAACATGAATATGTTGGATGATGAAGATGACCAAAGCTTTCACGCTACGCGTGACGGCTACTCCCATTTGAGCGATGTCGAATGGGATGTGGTTGAACGAATGGGTTCAACCATGGGCATCCATGCTGTTAGCGTCATGCTAGAGGCTCTCAATAGAGATGCCCAACATACTACTATCGCCAAGTTCATTCAAAATGACCTTGACGCTGAACGCGAGAAAGTAGCCTTGCTTCACCAACAAGGTTCTCAACAAGCAGAGTTGTTGAGAGAACAGAGTGCTCAACAGTTTGAACTGTTGAGACAGCAGCAGGCTGCTGCTGGTGGGTCGATGCATTCGCGTCGACCCGAAACCTTGAAGATTGACATCTCCAAGTATAGGGGAGTCGAAGAGGACGCCCTCTTGAGATTGTTCGTCGAATTAGACGACGATAAAGGTCGCGTCGCATCGACGACGGAGATATGCAAGTTGCATTTGCCCAATAAAATCTGGCAGGACGTGCCAAGACTTGGGCTTTGGGGCTCAAGTTGCACGACCCATATGCGTTTGGGTCGTTGGAAGTCTTCAAGTCGCGGCTCAGACAAACGTTTGAACCGCCTAGAGCTGAGTTCAGAGCTCGAACCGAACTCTTGAAGCTCAAGCAGGGTAAGCGTGATGTGCACGCCTACGCACAACATATACGACATCTTACGAGTTGTATAAGTTCCAACCCGGTTGATGAACACACGTTGGTTTCGGTGTTCATGCAGGGTCTTGCGGATGGTCCCGTCAAGACTCACCTGTCCCGACTTGAACTAGATTCACTAGAACAAGTCATTTCCATTGCGGAACAGGAAGACTTCAGTCTGAGACAGGCTCGCGCCAGCTCGACATCATATCGTCAACCGAGACGATATGACAGCGGAGGTCCAGAACCGATGGAACTCTGTTATGTAGAGAGCGATAAGGCTCGCTCTACAGACTACAAGAAGTTGCAGAAATGCAACAGATGTCAAAAGACAGGACACTACGCTTACGAGTGTAGTGCCCCTCGTCCAGTGTCTCGCAACACTGGGCGTAGTGACCGTCCACCCATGAGAAAGGGGCAGGGACGAGGGTCCGCTGTTGGTGCAAAGACGCAACAACGGGATGGACCGTTAAAAAACGGACAAGATCAGTAGTTGCGGAGCACCCTACTGGTCCAGCAACGTCAAGAGAATTTGTAGGCCTCTTGATGAAGGCTGCTCCCAACACACAAACGTTGTGCGTTGCTGCTCTAGGTAATGAGATCTCACTCATTACCTTGAAACTCGAAGTGACAAATAAGTTGTCCCTTCGAGCTCTAGTCGATTGTGGGGCGTCCAACAATTTTGTGCGACACCAATCGCTAGAAGATGTTCATTTTAAGTTCAGTGAATGTGACACACCTCCTACGAGGATGACAGTACGTATTGCGACAGGCGCATCCGTAACCGTCATGAAGCGTATAGTGAAGATCCACTATACGCTAGAAGATACCCAATATGACGATGACTTTATCGTATTGGATTTGGATGACAAATTTGATGTCATCCTTGGAATACCGTGGCTCAGAAGGTACGAACGACGGGTAAACTGGCAACATCGAACAGTAACGATGCCTGCCGCTTGTTCATCAGATGGCCATCTGATGAACGTTTTGAAGCGTCTACAAGCGTGTGGATGTACTACGAGTGAGTGCGATGGCCTCACTTGTGGTACGGTCGTTAGTACGACTGCACAAAACCTTAGTGTAACAAACGGTTACACTTCGGAGCAAAGTTCCGGCGGCTGTGAGGAAACACAGGCTGCGCCGAAGGTCCACCACTCGAATAAGTCGAGTGGACCGGGACAAAGATGTATCCCTAGCGGGGATATCTAGAAGAGAAACAATAGATCGCTCAGGTTAGGCGAAACGATAATCCTAGATCGACTGGAGAGTATTTCGTAGAGGATCTCGCTGTGGTTGCGCAACCCCAGCTAGAGGAAGTAAAGGGAATAAGTCCCGATATTATAAATACGGCGGAAATAAGTTCCCCGAAACCCGCGGGAATTAGTCCCCAGGAAGCCGAAGGAATAAGTCCTTCGAAGCCTGTGGGAATAAGTCTTCAGGAAATGACAGAGACATTAAATGTCATAGTCAATGACGGATCAAGTGTAGGCGCTTATACACTTGATCTGATTGCGCCTCCGAAGTTGACTTCGGAGATCACTCAGTTGCCAACGCTCGAACATAAAAGGTTATTGCGTGATCTGCGTTGTGGCAAAGTCAAGCAGATCTGCGTACTCGTCGCTGACGACGAGTGTGTAACCGACATAAGGTCAGCAACAGTGTTCACTGAGAACGAGAGAGTTCTCAGTAGTTCATCTATGGACGAGAGTGTCCTAGATGAAAAGACACGAGTTGAGCGATATGACTCCCAATCATGGGAATCGCTCAAGAAAAATCCTCTCTATGAAGATTTGGTTGAATTCAAGGATGTATTCCCTGAAACTGTTCCGTGCGAATTACCGAAGGATAAAGGTATTCGACACGAGGTCGAGCTTAAACCAGGCTCGAAGTACTGTGTCATGAAGCAGTGGCCACTGCCTCGTGAACAAGTACTTGCGATCGACAAGTTCTTTGCCGATCGTTTAGCCGCGGGCCATGTGAGGGAATCAACTTCCCCACATAGCTCTCCGACCTTCTGTGTGCGAAAAGCAACAGGAGGGTGGCGGATAGTGCATGCATTTAACAAGTTGAATGCTGCAACGGTACCGGCTCACAAGCCGATACCGAGGAAGGACGTAATCATTGATGGTATGTCAAAGAGTACCATCTTTTCGTCCATGGATTTGATGGATGGCTTCGATCAAATCCTTATGCGAGAACGGGATATACCCTATACCGCAGTGAGCACGCCTAGCGGCAGGCTCTGGGAATGGCTAGTAATGCCACAAGGGCTTGGTAATGCCCCTGCCACGTTCAACAGATGTGTATCACATCTGTTGAGACCAGTACGAGAATTCGCGCCGAGTTATTTCGATGACGTATTCATCCATAGTCGAGCTATGGATGGAAAGTCGGACGTTGAGGTTCACAGGTACCACGTCCGACAAGTTCTTACAATCATGCGAAAGCATCAATTGTATGCTAACCTCAAGAAGTGTATATTTGCAGCAAGCGAAATACCACTTCTTGGGTGCATCGTTGGTAAGAACGGTGTACGTCCTGATCCCGAAAAGATCAAGGCGATCACCGACTGGCCTGTGCCGGTTGATGTCAAAGGTCTTCGAAAATTCCTTGGGCTAGCGGCGTATTTGCATAAGTATTCACGCAATTACGCCGAGATGACTGTGCAGCTCTCTCGTTTGTTGAAAAAGAACGAGAGGTGGTTATGGAACGCTGAATGTCAACGCTCCTTTGATGGTATCAAGCAGAGCTTGATACAATCCCCAGTCCTAGCAATAGCCGATCAAGACAGGCCATTTCATGTGGTCTCTGATGCCAGCGATTTCGCAATCGGCTGTGCATTAATGAAGTACGATCTTGAAGGCGTTGAACGCGTCGTCTGCTATCAGTCGCGTCAGCTGCAACCAGCTGAGCGGAACTATCCAGTGCATGACAAGGAACGCCTTGCCATGAAGTATGCACTCGCGAAGTTCAGAGTCTATCTATTAGGAGATAGACCCTTCGTTGTTTACACTGACCATGCGTCATTACGCACGGCAGTGAACAGCCCGCACCTTTCACAACGAATGGCGCGGTGGTTGTCATTCTTTGCGGAATACAACTTTACGGTCGAGTACAAACCAGGAAGACTTAATGTCGTCGCTGATGCACTCTCACGTCGTCCCGACTTTGAACCAGTCGCGAAACCCAACAGTGAGACAGTCACTGTTGCGGTTATGACGTCCTCAGTCCCATCTAAAACGTTGTATGATGATGTGAGGCGGGCATACGCCCAAGATGGTGAGATTGTGAAGTTTTTGACACATCTCTCACAGCCATCTCGAGAATCGTTGAAACGATTGTCGTCTGCGTATCAATCTGCATCAGATCGATACACTACTCGCAACGGTTTACTGTATTATACAGCCGTTTCTGAAGACACACCACGTGTTGTCATTCCAGATGATACTGATCTGCGTTTGCGGATCATGTTCGATTATCACGATGCTCCTATAGGAAGACATCGTGGCCGGGAGAAAACAAATCTCACGGTGAGTCGGGACTTTTACCGGCCCCGCCAGTATCAGTTTGTGCAAAAGTATGTTCGCGCGTGCGAAGTCTGTCAACGAGTGAAGTCAAGTCCTTCACTGCGTGCACCTTCACAGCCTCTAACGGTTCCGGCTGAGTGCTGGGAATCCATCTCAATGGATTTCGTCTTCGGGTTACCCAAAGACGCACGCGGGAATACGGGTATTCTCGTATTTGTTGACAGATTCAGCAAAATGGTACACCTTGTGGCTGTACCAGAGTCAATCACGGCAAGTGGCTGTGCTTGTGTCTTTATTGACACCATCTTCCGACTTCATGGGTTGCCCCGTGAACTCGTATCAGACAGAGATCCACGATTCACTGCTGATTGCTGGCGTTCCGTGTTTAAATCACTCGGAACGCGCTTGAAGATGTCGACATCTGATCATTCAGAGTCAGATGGTCAGACGGAACGTGCCAATCGTGCCCTTGAAGAGATACTTCGATGATACGTACACTCCTTTAAGAGTTGGGGTGAGTTTTTACCAATGGTAGAGTTTGCCATTAACAACTCGGTGCATGCGTCCACGACCCATACACCGTTTTACGTGAATGGCTTACGCCATCCGCGTGTACCCACCTTACTAGAGTGTAACTCTGGTTTAAGGGGGGAGGGACTCGCGCGAGCAAAAACCGATTTGGTTCACGCTCATCACGCTCTGACGAAGAAGTCATTGCGTTTGATGCCGATATCGATAACATCGATATCGAAGAAGATGATGCCAGTGAGAGTGCGGAAGCCCTCACTGAAGAAGATGATCCCAGTGAGAGTGCGGAAGCCATCACTGAAGAAAAGGTTGATGTTGCCGCAGTGCGCTCACAGCGCACTGAAGCTAACGAGTCATCAGATGAGTTCATACTGGCTCGTGAAACGGTAGTCCGTTTTGTGCAAGACTCCATCGCCGAAGCGGTGGATAAGCAAAAGCAAAACGCTGACAAGAATGGAAGGGCAAACACTCTTTTATTTAATAAAGGTGACTTAGTCCTACTGTCTACGGTTAATCTACCAAAGCACGTAGTGACTAACTTGGGTAGTAGTAAACTACTACCCAAGTACATTGGCCCATTTCGTGTATTGCACCGCCTAGGCAATGCATACACGATCGAGTTACCACGTAAGATGCGAACGCATCCCACGTTTTACGTTGGTCGGCTTAAGCCGTACCATCAGTACGCTGCTTCTTCCGATGAAGAACGCCCTTGAGCTCAAGCATCTCGCAGAGAGCCTTGTGCTCCCGATGGTGGGAATCGACAAGGGTCTGGAGAGCAGTTATCTCATCCCGAGACCGATCAACAATCCCACGAGCTACCCTTAGCTCGTCACGAAGAGATGTCAGAGATCTCTCGTTCTCGAGCTGAGCAAAGGTAAACTCAGCTCGATGCTTCGAGGCAGTGTCCGCCATTTGGAGACGCCTATTCCGCTCATGTTCGAGATCGTCGCGTAACCCTTGCGTTACGCGATCAAAGAAGCTCTCGGGAACACACCGATCCACATGATCGTGTGGAGAGCGTCTTTCCTCCCCCACCACCTCCATTAGAGGACTCTCGTGGTGGCCAGCGCTATCCCCGCCGAAACAGAGCAAGAAGCGAACAATAGAGCACGACACAGTCCACTTTGGATTTTACACCTCGGCAAACCGCATACTAGCCCCAGATCAAGTTTGGTTCTACCCAAATTTGAATCTTTCCACCGGATAATCCAGCGCAAAACGTACCATAATAGATTCTGTCAAAGCGACATACAGACCGAAATCCATACGCACACTAAACCGTCCATCACAATACTCCTTCACGCCAGTACCGATAGAGCGCTGTTGTTACACTTCGCAACGTCAGCAGTATCTCGTCGTATTCAAAAACATGTACACAGGTCACTAATCCACGTACGCACTCTCGTCAACAACTCCAACACCGCATCGGCACAAAGTACACAGTGCAACGCATTTTGTATCAAAATACTGTATTCGAATGCATAGCATATGAATACAACCTCCTTTTCCTTTCGCACGCATGATCACTCTGAAACAAATTCCAAAGCAATACGAGCGCACTATGTTTTGTAATCTATACGTATCCTGGAAATGACTCGAAATCATTCCTAAAAGAATACATAGAGAATACCATCAATTGCCAAATTTGAGCAGTCTTATTCAAAATAAGATCGCAAAAATAACATGGTTGTCGAGCATTTCTCCAACCCTTCCATTCAATACTAGAAACAATAAATATTCCCAGCTCCAAACGAAACAGCCAAGTACTTTGCCTTACAACAGATCAAACTGAACATTCCAATCATTCTTCTCCATTTCGAAAGTTAACTACGTTTCCAAAACGGATCCAAACAATTCGTTTGCCCCACGTTGACCAATCAATTAGAACTTTCTCAGCTATTCTTTTCAACACCAGAAATTAACTACGTTTCCAGTATCGATCCAAATAATTAAGTCTGCCCCGCTGATCGATCAATTATCAAAAAGAACTTTCAGAAATGTCCTTAAACCAACAATAGATTGAGAACCAACCCACTATCGATTTAATAACACGCATCCAGTTCCACGTTTCATTGGTGGTACAATCCACATCAATTCATTCTGGCAACCGAGTTAGGCAACCAGTTCCACCATTTTTCCGAATAATTAGTTCGGTCCAACAGATCAATCAACACTACTTCCCCAACCGTTTAGTTCAATACTAGAATTAGTTTCCCAACTCCAATACCAGCCCAAAAAGTAAGTTCGGTCCATCCAATAATCCGTAAACACTTCCCCCTTATTTATTTCAATAGCCAAATTCACAAGTCAACCCCACTATCGATCCAAATAATCGGCTAGACCCATACAACCAATTAAATGATACTTCACTAACCATTCTTTTCAATAACAGAATTAGCAAGCTAACTCCATTACCAATCCAAACAATTAATTGATACCACTAACGGATCAACAGAGCTTCCCCAACTATCCCTTTCAATAGCAGAATTAGTCTGCCAACTCAACCACCAATTTAAACAGAAGTTGGTGCCACAAAACAATCAACAAAACCTCCCCGACGATTCTTTTTGATATTAAAATTAGTTTGCTAACCCTTGTGTCGTTCTAAACTATTGCTTCTGTAGTACTAACTAACCCGTCGAACCTACCTAACTGCTCTTCCCAATAGTAGACGTCGTTACCTTTCTCCGCGACCAAAACAAGACGTTAGATTGATTAGTATTAGCCATACCACAACAAAACATACGACTGCGCTCCCCGGTCTATAAACGGTAAAGTACCCTTGTTTCCATTACCAGTTCATAGAGGATCGACACACAGAAGGCGGGGGGTCTTTAACCTTACAGCGTCGTTTCCAACAATAAGATTAGTTTTTTTTTTACCTTACCACCCCACATATATAGGGATCGGTGCACCCCCGAACACCTTGAGGCTCGTTCTACGTGTTAGAATATTTATTAGAGTTAAAGTATGGATGGCTATTTTTAGACTTCGCTGGGGCCATACGAGAAAGTACGTAAATTTCGGTAATTTATGATGTCGAATGCCTTTCTCAGGTAACCCTAACCCTAAGCCCCGCTTAAGTGCGTATTTTATGTGGACCCGCAATAAGTACGTAATATTCAAATAAGTACGAAAAATACGAGTCAAATCCTGTAAGAAAATCTACTTTTTGCCAGATTACGTCGTCTGTGAGTAAGTTTTGTATACCGCTTTCTTTGGGGGGATTGTAGCGTACATTTAGTGGGACATATTGTTCTATACAATCATGTAGTATTGATCAACCCGTTTTGTTTTTATTCGTACAAATGTTGTCGTCTGGATTTTTTTGTGACATTTGGCAAGTCGAGCGGGGTGGATCATCTGCGGCTAACCTAATTATTCGGATTGGCATAAACTTTTCGGGCAAAATTTCAAATTTTGATGTGAAAATCATTAAAAAACATGAATTTTCATCACTTTTCAACATTTTGTCGACTAAAACGTTAATAACTTTTTCTCCTGAAATTCTTTTTTCAATGTGACTGAATATTAGGTGTTCGGTACTGTTATTATACCTAGATCAATCGTTGTTTCGGGGAAATTCCCAAATTTTTCGCAAAAAGTGGTCTTTTTGGGAGTTCATGGCAACTAGTTCGGATAGATGAAATTAGTCGTCACTCTCACCGGTTGGAAATAAATTCACGCCATTTTGGAAGTTGGAATGCGACAGACTGATATGAACCCACTTTAAGGTGCGGAATTTTACGGAGATTACGAATCTGCTCGATCCAAACGATTTGCATCATTTTTGACTTCACGGTAGTCAAACGCGCGATCATTTCGGTACAAAATCACGTTTTTCGTCGATTTTTAGGCATAAAAACGAGTCTGTACAAAAAAGTACCAAAATTCAGCTTGATGACGATAGCTGACGAGAAAGAGAATGAAAAAATACATCTGGTCCGTATAGTTACAAAGTCTAAAAATGTTTCATATATAGACTTGTTTTGGGAAATATGAAAAAAATGTTGAATTTCGGCGAAAAAAGACGTCATTTTAGGCCTTTTTTCGACCTCGGGAAATGCAACTGCGACAAGACTACTGGCTCTCTGCCCGCATAACTTTCTGAGAACTTGTGGGTAGGTATGCGACAAGTCGTCCCGGAGTCCGATTGTACCAGATGTCGCTGGCGCGCTGAGACGGTACGTTTTAGAGGTTAAAAAAACGCCTTTCTCGCCGAAAACACACGGTTTTGAGAATATCTCGACAACCAGTCCGATTCAGCTTTCTGACGTGGTTGCATTCGATTCAGCACGTCATTTTACATCAGAAAGGCTATGTCCGAATTGGTAACAAAGAAAGTGCAAATTTGATATCGATTTTGCAAAAAAGTACAAAGTGTACATAAAATGTGACTTTTCCACGAGAAAGGCCATAAAAAACTACGTCGGGTACACCCGGTCCGAGAGCCAGTTCGATTCGATTTGACAGGTTTATTCATTGATAGGTACGTTTATCGGTTTAGACAGGGAACCGTTGAAGTGTCGCATAATACGACTGGCCCACGTGAAAGAGCATGCAAAAGTGCCCCTAGAACATAGGTGGGGTTAGGTGTAACTCATCTGTATACCGTATAGAAAAAGCAAAAGAAAGTGCAGATATACGGTTTATCCATTTTGCAGAGACAGGATGGATGGTGCATAAAACGAGATAGTACCACAAGAAAGAGCATACAAAAATACACATACTCCATACAGTTAGCCGACCCAATAGAGCCAGTTATATGTGTATATACATCGATTTATAGTTCAAATCGAGTTTATATCGTGTTTGACAGGGTTATGCTTACATGTCGCACGATATGAATGGCCCACGTGAAACAGCATACAAAATTACATATAATCCATACCGTTAGCCGACCTACAATCGATCATAACATATGTTTTATTGCAAGTAAATAGTTCCAATCATCTTCATAACGAGTTTGAGAGGGGATCCACTGACATGTCGCACGATATGAATGGCTCACGTGAAAGAGCATACAAAAATACATATAATCCATACCGTTAGCCGACCTACAATCGATCATAACATATGTTTTATCGCAAGTAAATAGTTCAATCATCTTCATAACGAGTTTGACAGGGGATCCACTGACATGTCGCACGATATGAATGGCTCACGTGAAAGAGCATACAAAACTACATATACTCCATACCGTTAGCTGACCTACAATCGATCATAACATATGTTTTATCGCAAGTTAATACTTCAAATCATGTTCATAACGAGTTTGAGAGGGGATCCACTGACATGTCGCACGATATGAATGGCTCACGTGAAAGAACACAAAAAACTACCCCTAGAACATGTGCGAGGTTAGGTGTAACGTGCAGTGCAACATTCGATACGTGACATCGAAATCGTGTACATATGCATTGTGTCTCTTGCAACTTACACATGCACCGCGTACGCCGCACGCCATGTGCCGCGGGGTCATACATAACGTCAGTATACATGATAGCACGTGCAGACATACAAATACCAAGTCACAGTGAGTGAAACTCCCATGCATCATCGATATTCTATACAAAAGGTAGACAGCACCCGGACTTCCCCGGTGGTCACCCACCCGAGTACTACCCGAGCTTGAGGCAGCTTAACTTCTCAGAGCGAACGGGATAAGGTGATATCTGCCTAATATGGCCGTCTACGACAACAATGCTTGCGCACACCTATAACTACCTGTATACGTGCATAACACAGAAATACATTTACACACATGCACATGCGCACTGGCTCTTTTACTTCCTCTCTTGCACAGCGCCAAGACTAGATGCATGTAGCAACACGCTCCATATTCACACACACGTTTCCAGTGCTAATGTAAAATTCCATACATACAAACACCAAGTATCGTACGCCTGGAAACTGTCACACACACAAAGTGTCATCCTATGCGACATGAATCGCCATTTTCAATCTCCCTTATTTGGCTCTTCTTTGCACAAACATTGCACTTGTCTCTCTCGCACTTTCTCTATTATTAAATCAAGCCAAAAATAATACCAAATAATTCAATTCGAATAGCAAATAACTCGCACTTTTTAAAGTCTTGCGCATTGCTTTTAATACGTTGACAAAGTCTATCTGAATGGCAATACAAGCTCATACAAAATTTATCCGATTTTGGCTCGAAACGCAATAGCACAAGCACTTTGTACCACAAGTGGTGCTTCATACAAATTGATGCACGCGCAAGTCTTTCCTTTCCCACCTGATTCTAAGCTACCAGAAGAATGTAGCAAACAAGGCTGAGGAATCTCGGTCAAAAAATGAACCACTAGCACAATCACCACGCAGCACAAGAGCATGTTGCCAGTTTTATGATCCGAAAATCTTGCGCCGTAGGTGTTCCGATCGCTAGTGGTAGAGCACAGTAACCCTAAGGACAAGGCCATGGAGCTCAGGAAGCTTCCCACGCCAGTAACGGTAATTATAAAGCTGCTTGTCGTCGCATTTGGTCCTAAATGCGTCTATGGCTGTGAAGTTTTGTCCGTACTTGTTCGTATGAACGCGATCGTGAGAGGCACATCTGTTAGTAAGGCACTAGTTGAGTTGCTGTTCAAAAGCGCTAAAAGTTACTTGTCTGTTTTTACGACTCAGAAATATGACTACTGCCTTAAGAACTTGCAGTTATCGAGTTTGTTCTTGTCGCGCAGCACATGCGCAACGGCCACCTTACTCGCACTTTCTTTTGCTCGTGCTAATTCGGCCTTTTCCAATGAGTTTGCTATTCGGCTGCAAAGTTCATTTATTAATAATACCAACCACACGCGTGTCTGTCGACTTTTTTAGTGCTGCCACTTTTCCTTCTTCTCAGCTGCAGGTGGAAGTGGCTTTTTTTCGCGGACGATAAAGTCCAAAGACCATGTGGTCGCTATCCTGTGGCAGTAACAGGAAAGCGCCATCGACACCAACTGCCATCAAAATGCCAACAATGCGGCCAGCAGCTACCAACAAAGTCAGCTATGAGACTTTTCGAGAGAAACGAGCGGTAGCGGCAGAACTGGAGCGATCTGCAATGGCCAAATCAACTCAATTGGAACGGGCAATGCGGAATTACGATAACCTTATGGCAAATCGAGAGCTTCAGGTGAAAAGCGGTGCTCCATCAGCTTTGATGGATATCGTTCGGACACCTGATCGGTGGAAAGGTCGTGCGACCAAAAATCTCGCGCTGTACAATGTTGATCTGGACGAGCTCCAGCTTCCCGACATGCACGAAGGTCTGTGTCGTGTCTTTTGTCAGCCCAGTACGTGGTCGCCTGCATTCGCGTCAACTGGAGACTTTACGATCAAAATGGCGTCGGTCGATGCGAACAAAGGGGAAGTCTGTTTTCGTATTGCAGTGATGTGCTGCTGTGCCCGGTCCATTCGTGATGGCACGCGCGTAAAACCAGTCTTGAAGCGGCAGTACTATACTTCGTACGTTGAACGGACTCAGCGTGAATTTGTCAAGCTAACGGAAGCACTGTCACTTCAGTTTTTGGGACATTTCCTAGCGGAAAGGATGCCCACGCATGGAGCACGTAGTATCCGAAAGCAGCGGGCACTCGATGAGTATGGCGAGGAAGTTGCGCAGCTCCTGGGTTTTGTGATGCAGATCACGGCAATAGGGTTCAATCGTCTTGTGGCGCTGAAGGAGCCCATATCAAGCAACGTGCGAGTCCGTGACTTTTTGGGGCTGGCGTTGGGCTTTAGTGAGCAGCCGGTCGTTGCAACGAGTTCGTGCGACGCCCGGATTGAAGGACGAGACGGTAGTTATCGACCGGTGTTGCCAGTTGCATGGATGGACGCCAATCCGAGTGTGTCGTCAGATGCCAACTGCTATAAAAAATTGAATGTCACGAAGCGGTCTTCGTGCGATTGCACCCACGATAGCGTCAACAGGTTGGACCCACATATGCTGTCGCGCAGTATCAATCAACCAGGGACTGGAAAGTGTGTCCGCTACATCGATCCAAGCTATTGGGTCGACGAGACGCCGAATGACGGATCGTTCACCGTGGAGATCTCCAGCGTGTCAGTCGTAGCTGGCGTGGCTATATTCTCGATCAGTGTGCTTTTCTTCGCGAGTGGGAACCTGAAGGTGACGACCGTCGATCGTCGCTACTCCGAGTTCGACGAGCTCGCACGCGCCCTCGAGGAAAAAGCACCTTCCCTCCAGCTTCGCAAGCTGCTACCACCCAAGACCTTTTTCCGCAACCTCTCGGTTCGCTATCTCGAGCGTCGGGCCGCATCTTTGCAGCACTTTTTGGAGCGCATGCTTCATCTTAGTTTCCAGGGGATCCTCGATGAGGAGGTCCCGCTTACCGCAGAGCCTTACGTGCGCAGGTTTCTGGAGCTTCCCGCTGTCGAGTGGATCGTGGTCCCGTGGAGCAAGCTGTCGCCACGCCACAAAATCAATCGAGAGGACTTTCGCACGAACCTCTCTCTGTCGCCTACAGCAGCGTCCGAGTTTTCCCAGTACTGCAACATTTCGCCTGTACGTTCTATGCGGCACATTTCGAGCGAGTCGACGGCACCTCGCTACGAAAGTCTCTTTGTGAGACGTAGCGACTCCATGTAGCCATAGCACGACCATAGCAAATTCAATTGTGAGACCCGTTGTGGGTCTTGAAGATGTCACGTGCTCGCACACGTCGCAGATCTGCGACTTGTGAGAAAAAGCCTACGGATGTTCATCATTTATGCGAAACAACAGGACGCATTTCGGCTCGTCCTGCCCGACGCTATGGAGAAGGCAGAGGTCGACGAGCTACGGGAACTCACACAGCGCGTATGTGCGAACGTGGCTGCGTATGCTGGAGCGCAACTCGACGGTGCGAGAGCAACACAGTTTTTGGACCGCTATTTGTACTAGGAGCTGTTCAATGGCTGTCTAAAGTTGATCCTTTTTTCGCTATTGTCTGTAGGCTCACTCGAGTCCATGCAGCTAATGGCGACTGTGGTGAACACTGTCAATGCAAAGTACGTGGGAATGAGACGGGAGATCAAAAGCGTCGGGAAGCTGTCGAAAGTATTGGAGGCGCGAGGTGAGGGAGGGGGAGGGCGATCAAGTGGAGGGACTTGCACTGAAGTGACGCTGTGAATGGTGCTGTTGTTTCTTACCAGCAACTGCCTTGCGAGAAAAGATGGACGTCATTGACGATCTCGATGAAGAGCTTGCGGAGCTCGAGGATATGGTGGACCAGCTCGAGAAGTACACGGGTTCTCTCGGTTCGTACTAGTGCGCTACCAAGTGTCCAGGCAGTGACATACGGTCGGTACTGACTCCTGCTGCTACTGTCGTTTTGCTCTTTGAAGAAGTCAAGTTTCATCAAGTGTGTTAGCGTTCAACAAGAGCGAAGAAAAAAGTAGAAGAGCAGCAGGTGGCACATGCTTGCCTCATTTCAGCCTCGCGAGTAGTACCATGTCTTGCATAAACGTCGCCACGACGCGGTTCGTTTGTGCTGGACTTAGTGGTGGTAATAGTCAGAAAAGTGGCAATGACTTGGTTTCAGTATGTGCTGTGACTCGTGGGTTTCGCCGTCTTCTATTCTTAGCTCTGAATGGAATCCGGAATGTACCTGGAAACCGCTACTTCCTTGTCGGGGTCCATGTCCCTTCACTATAGCAAACAACTCGTGACGCACGGACCCGAGATCGATTCCAAGTAGCAGCAGAATGGCCACTATGCAGAACATGAAATGTGTGGTCGTTGGGTAAGTGATTTTTGCATGAGTAAGTGGGTGGGTGGATCCAACCACCACCACCAGCAGCAGCAGAACGAAAGGATATCGTTTGGACGGATCGAAGCGGCTGATGTCAATCTTGATTGTTTCTTGCGTTGTGTTGCTCACTTGGTAACCAGTGACGGTGCGGTGGGGAAGACGTGCGTGCTCATTTCGTACACGACCAACACGTTCCCGAGCGAGTACATCCCGACGGTGTTTGACAACTACAGCGCCAACGTGATGGTAGACAGCCGGCCGATCAATCTGGGGCTTTGGGATACGGCCGGACAGGAGGACTACGACCGGTTGCGGCCACTTAGTTACCCACAGACGGATGTGTTCCTCGTCTGCTTCTCCGTCGTCAGGTACGGCGTCGACCTTAGAATGGCATGGACTCTGGTTTTGTGCGGTGCGGTGCGGTTCTTAGGTATGACATTTGTCGTTGTATCTTTTGCCAGCCGTGCTTCGTTTGAGAACGTCAAATCGAAGTGGGTGCCCGAGATCCGCCATCACGCACCAGGGGTGCCGTTTATCCTCGTTGGCACGAAATCTGATCTCCGTGATGATGGAGAGACGCTGGCAAAGTTGCGAGAGAGGAGGCTCGCTCCGATCAGTCAAGAGCAGGTTTGAGTTTGAATGCACATCTTACGAGAGAGCGACAGTGAATTGATTGTCTGACATTGGACTGCTAAACAGGGCGAGGCGCTCAAGACCGAGCTCGGCGCGTATGTCTACATCGAGTGCTCGGCTCTGACGCAGAGGGGACTGAAGCTGGTCTTTGACGAGGCGATTCGATGTGTCGTCACAAATCAGCAGAACCCCAGGAACCACAAAAAAACGTTCAAGTGTTCGATCTTGTAGCGTGCTGTGCGGCGATCGCAGGCAGGAAGCCAAGTGAGCTGACGCCTCGACTTTGTACCCACTTGTCCGATTCGGTCGACTTGGGCACGCTCGAAATGGCACACACTGTGGTTTTGGTGTACCTATAGTTGCGTGTGTCATTCTCACGAGGGTCTTCTGACCTGCTTTTTTTTGGGGAAGTAATGTTAAAAAGAATTGCGATTACAATTGTCAGGTTAAAAAACGCACAAACAATTTGACATGATGCCCGAAAGCTCCAGCCCGATATCGTGGCTTCTGAGCGCAGCTTACACCGGTACCGCGTTATGTGCAGGTGCTTTGCTCCTTCTCTACGTGTACCAAGAGAAGCTTCTCTACTTTCCTACCATCCCTGGCGCTGCCAAGTTCACGAAAGACAATCCTCCAGGTACGCAACGCTGGTGGGTGATTGTGTGCTACTTGTTCTGGTACTAATTTTATCTATGACATTGATAGGATACCGACATCCAGGAGAGTATCACATCGACTATGAAGATTTGATGATTCCGTGCAAGGATGGCGTGAAAATCAACGCGTGGCTGATGAAGCAAAGAGATCACTCGAGCCGTCCGACGCTCATCTTTTTCCATGGCAACGCCGGAAGTGAGTCCTCTACTACAATCGTAGGTACAAGACCGACACAAAAGTCGCACTGACGATAACTGTTCGATGTTCTAGACATTGGTCACCGCCTGCCAAATGCTTTGCAGATTTACCGGAAAGTGGGTGTGAACGTTCTGCTTGTGGACTACCGAGGATTTGGTCACAGTGACGGGGACCCGTCCGAGAAAGGAATCAAGATTGATGCAGAGGTGAGCCAGAAAAACTCTACACTCGTTGGAATTGAATGGAGGTGCTGATAACTGCTGTCGCTTTACCGCAGGCTGTCGTAGACGCTCTGTATGCGCGCACGGACATTGACACGTCGAAGCTTGTGGTGTTTGGCCGGTCGCTAGGTGGAGCAGTGTCAGTCTACCTCGCCGAGAAAGAGCCTTCTAGAGTACGTGTTGGCTACTTAGATTTGCAGCCACTGTACTTTAACTCGACTCGTTCATGCTGTCGTACAGGTGGCTGCCGTTATCCTGGAGAACACGTTTCTGAGCATATCTGCTATGGTAGACGCACTGATGCCGTTCCTGACGTACGTCAAATTCCTCGTGCTGCGAATGGATTGGAATAACGAGCTGGCTATTCAAAAGGTGACACAGCCGATCCTCTTTATTGCAGGAATGCAAGATGAGCTCGTGCCTCACTCCCACATGGAGAGACTGCACTCTCTCGCTACTTCGAGTGAGCGTATCGTGTGGTACCCTGTAGCTCGCGGGACGCACAACGATTCATGGCTGCGTGGAGGCGACGAGTACTTTTCTCAGCTGCGGGAGTTTTTGGATAAGCTGAGTGGCGACAGCGCATGCTCGGAGGTTTGCGAAGACAATGTCGATTCTCCTCCGATCGAAGAGAATGCCATTCCGACGATGTTGCAGGAGCCACTCGTGAATACGCTCTCGAAAAAGACGCAGTAGAAAGCCCAGGTCGTTTAGAAACGAACTCTATTTGCTAACGTTTGCAGCAACAACAAAACACTCATGTTCTAACGACTTTGTTTTGGGCTAAGCTCTTATTTTGGGACGGCATCCAGATCCCACAGACGTTGAAGTGGCCACATTCGCGCATTCATTCTCATTGGCTGAAAACCCCTTCACGTCAAACTCTCGTCCAGCCCCTCACGTCGCAAACGCCGCAGATCTTTCACTTTCGAATTGACCACCGAGTGCGCACTCGCTTCCTCGTGCGTTGCAGTTAGTTGGTTGCACTTTCTCTCGATGGTGTTTCCGCCGCTCTTGCTCGCGCGTCACCTGGCGCTGTCGTCCACCCGCGCGCTGTCGTCGAGCGCAGCCACGTGGGGCGCGTTCGTGACCATGGAAATGCGTCCGAACGGCGTCGCGGTCGTGCGATTGGACGATAAGGCGGCCAAAGTCAACACGATTTCGTCGAAGATGACGGCCGAGCTGACGGCGATGCTGGACACAGTGGAGAGCGACCCGAAGATCAAGTCGGTGGTGCTCATCTCGGCCAAGCCGGGCGTGTTTATCGCCGGCGCGGACATTGCCGAGCTGAGCGCGTGCAAGACAGAAGAAGAAATGCGCGCGCTGTCGAGCGCTGGTCAGAGCTTTATGGACCGTCTGGCAAGTTCTCGGAAACCGTTTGTTGCAGCGATCGAAGGTTCGTGTATGGGCGGAGGTCTTGAAGTTGCGCTTGCGTGTCACTACCGAGTCGCGGCCCAGAGCAAGAAGACGCAGTTGGCGCTGCCAGAAGTGATGCTGGGGCTTTTGCCGGGTGCGGGTGGCACGCAACGACTGCCGAAGCTTGTGGGAATTCAAGCCGCACTGGATATGATGCTTACGGGCAAGAACGTGAAGCCGGACAAGGCGCTGAAGATGGGGCTTGTGAATCAAGTCGCAGACGTGTATGCGCTCGAGAGCGCGGCGGTGGAAGCGGCAGAACAACTGGCAGACGGGCGACTGAAGCAGGCGAAGTCGAAGAAGAAGAGTCTGGTGAACCGCGTATTGGAAGACACGCCATTACGTCAAGTAGTGTTTAAAAAGGCTGCAGAGATGGTGGAGAAGAAGACAGGCGGGCATTACCCTGCACCGAAGATGATTCTTGAAGCAGTTCAAGCAGGTGTCGAGAATGGACTCGAGAAGGGATTGGAGGTCGAAGCGACCAACTTTGCTAAGCTGGGCATGACGAGCGAAGCCAAAGCGCTCATGAGCATCTTTTTTGGACAGACTGCACTCAAGAAGAATCGCTATGGCAAGCCTGTTAAGCCTGTGGAGAAAATGGCGGTGATTGGTGCTGGGCTAATGGGTGCAGGAATCGCACAAGTCTCGGCTGCGAAGGGCGTCCGTGTGTTGCTGAAAGATCGCGATGCTGTCGCTGCTGCTAAGGGGGAAGACTATGTGCGCAGCAATTTGGAGCAGAAGGTGAAGCGTAAACGCATGAGCACTTATGATCGAGACGCTGTGATGGCAAATGTCGTGCCGCTATCGGACGAGGATGAGGTTTGGAAGACGCATATCAAGAAAGCGGATCTTGCGATCGAAGCTGTTTTTGAGGACTTGACGCTCAAGCATAAAGTGCTGTCGGATCTTGAGAAGTACGTGTCAGATGACTGTGTGATTGCGACGAATACGTCGGCTCTATCGATTGCTGACATTGCATCGGCTTGCAAACGCCCCGAGAACGTGATTGGCATGCACTACTTCTCGCCTGTCCCGAGCATGCCGCTGCTAGAAATCATTCCTCATGCTGGCACGAGCGATGCTACTGCTGCAAAGGCTGTTGACTTGGGACTACGTCAAGGTAAGACAGCCATCGTGGTGAAGGACGTGCCGGGGTTTTACGTGAACCGATGCCTCGGCCCGTACATTGCTGAGACGTTGGCGCTGGTGGGGGATGGCGTCGACCCGGAAAAGCTCGACAAGCTCATGGTGTCATGGGGTCTACCCGTAGGTCCCATTACTCTCGCCGACGAGGTGGGCCTCGACGTAGCCTACCACGTCAATCAAACGCTGTCAAAAGCGCTCGGCGTTCGCATGGAAGGAGGCGATGCTAAGCTGTTTGAAGAGATGATTGGTCAGGGATTTTTGGGCAAGAAGTCGGGGAAAGGCTTCTTCGTGCAGCCTCCAAAGGGTAAGAAGATTAAGAAGTCTATCAATGCTGGTGCCATGGAGCTTGTGAAGAAACTCCAAAAGAACGATCTTCAACTCAGCGACGAAGAAACCGTGAACCGACTAATGGCTCGTTTCGTAAACGAGGCAGTCTTGTGCGTGCAGGATGATATTATTGCGTCTCCCTCGGAGGGTGACATTGGCGCCGTGTTCGGCATCGGCTTCCCGCCTTTCATCGGCGGTCCGTTTCGTTATGTGGACAAGGTGGGCAGCACGCAGTTCACGGAGATGATGCAGCGCTTTGCCGATCAATACGGTGAGCAGTTTGCTCCTGCACCGCTGCTACAAGATATGGCCAAGACCAACAAGAAATTCCACAGCAATTAGGCGCTCGTTCCGACACTACTGGTGACAAAAACTCTCTGATAGCAATCTTGATGTGGTACTTGGCTAAAAGCAAGAGCAAGGCATATTTGAAAAGGTGTCGTTGTGATGTTGCGCATGCTTCCATTTGTGTCCAGCACCATTTCTGCCAGCTTTTTATTTGCAGTCGTATTGGAAAGTATTCAAAAAACTGCAGAAAGCTTGCCAGAACCCAAGTGTAGGCAAGAGAGATTTCATCGAGCTTTTGACTCGGTTGTTGCAAAAAGTAGTTACATGAAGAATCATGTTTGCTCCGGTTTTTAGCAAGGTGATACAATTCAACATTCGCAAGACTGGTTGCAAGAATGTTCAAAACAGGGAATATATATAAATTTCGACGCGCTGAAGTAATTTATGACGGTGGTTGCCACTTTCGGGTCGCCCAGTTGGCATTTTGATCCTTCGGTACACTTTAATAGGCCCATTTTTGCATAATTTTCACTGCTCTTCATCACCCTTGTATCACACTTTACAAAAATATAGTATTTGTAACCCTTGACGCCAAAACCCTTTTTCTATTCGCTGTAAATCGACACTCACACTCCGAGCTCCCTCCCATATCCATTTGCTTTATTCGCTCGTGTCGCCACAATGGACGAAGGCGCCATGGCATCAACGAAGCTCTATGTGGGCAACCTATTCTACGACCTCACGCAGGAAGACTTGGAGGCGGAATTCGGCAAGGTCCGTCTTCCAACTTTGTTCCCCATCATCGTCTGCTCTTGCCATTCGTCCTTACCGGTGGTTTCTACCAACAGACCAGCACTATAACTAACGCTATTTCGTCCTCTATTTCTCCCCTTATTTCTGTCCCTATTTCTATTGTTTGATTCCACCAGTTTGGACCTCTTGAGCAATGTGCTGTCAAAAAAGGCTACGCTTTCGTTCACTACGAACGGCTCGAGGATGCAGAAATGGCAGTCCAAGAGATGAATAACAAGGAATTGGGTGGTCGTCGACTGCGTGTGGCTTTTGCCGTGTCGCACGGCATGCAACGACGCTATGACGGACCGCCGCCGCCTCTGCACGCAGTGCCCTCAGGTCCACCACCAGTTATGCAGCAGCTGGACCCGATCAGGCCGTCGCCGCTGCTGCGCAACCCCCGGTTTCCAGTGAACGCGTCGCCCAATCTGTTTGTCGCCAATATCCCGCCTCACGTCAAGATGAGTGAGCTGGACGACACGTTTGCTCGATTTGGAGAAGTCAAGAACGTCAAAGTACTGCCGCAGTCAAGACCGGACGCGCCCATGTCTGCTTTTGTCGACTACACTGACGTGTCGTCCGCCCAGAAGGCACACAGTTCCACGATCGTCATGTCGGGACAGCAGCTCCGCACGGACTATAATTTCCGCAAGTACGTAGAATGAGAGCTGCTAGATGACGGGCTGACTGCATAGCTAATGGCGGTTTGTGCTCAATGATCTGTGTAGAAGCAAAGGGGACGGACTGAAACGCGTAAATGGCAAAAACCCTGACGGTGGCTATGATGGTGAAGAGCAGAGGGGCAGGCGTCCGCGCCACGACTCGATCGACTCTCAATTTGGCAAACGGAGCAAGTTTGAAGACGAGACGGAGGATCCGAGCCATCGTCGTCATCATCACCATCGCCACTCGAGTCGTCACCATTCGTCGCGCCATAGTCGAGAGGACCCGGAGGAGCGGGAACGCAGTGCATCTCCTTTGCCTTATCGTCATCATAGCAGCAGCAGAAGCTTGTGTAGAGGTGAGGATTCTCTGAGGCGCGAGCGCTCGCGGGTCCATCCGTCTTACGTACGTCCAGATGACCCTGACAGAATCCATCAGCACGCACGCCGCTCGCACAACGGCGAGTATAACGACCGCCGACCACGTGGCGAAGGGAGAGTGGCTCATGAGTATGCAGAACATGAACTGAACAAGTTGCCGCCGCAAGAACCTCGTCGTCACAGCCGCCCAGAGATATCGCTGCGTCACGGATCGCGCCGCAGTCATCGAAATGATCGGAGCTGGTACGTCCAATGCGCCCGTTGATCACATCTCTATTTTCTTACTCAATTGTTGCAATTATTGCTGGAATTTTTTGGTGTATAGGTCGCCCTCTCATTCGAGACCTCGCAGTCGTAGCCGCTAAGGTGTGCAGCGCTACAAGATTGGCGCAGCTACGTAGTGAGCCTTCTACACTGGACACAGGCAAAAGGAGACTGTATGAGTCTCGTAACTTGTCGTGGATTTGCGAAGAAAGCTGGGGGAATTAGCAGCTTGGTTATATCTCGAAAGAAATGGATCAAATCATCTGTGGTTGCACCGTTCACCGTATGCGCGGGGTAGCGGGCATTTGTTCCGTTAGTTCTCGTCGTTAGTGGATGGATTGTTCGATGGTCTCCTTGGTATACAGACTGCTTTCTACCACCACGCAGCGGGTCGCTTGGCAATGTGATTGGAATGCAGTGGTGTGTATATATGAGCTTAGAAATGTGGTGGTTCTCTTCGCCTGGACTGTTGTTGACGGAGTCAAACGGATTCTTGAATGGTTGGAATCAGATCAACAGGCGCCATGTAGTTCTATCAACATCCATGCGCAGCCCCCCATTACATCACGAGTCTCACGATGCAACGCATAATGCTGGATTGCTTAGCATATGGACGCAGTTTGCACGACTTGATTATTGCACGTTTGTCGACCATAGTGCTTGTAGTCCATGCGATGATGGAAAGAAAGTCGGCCATTTCTTAGGCGTGTGACGCTTGTGTCTGCCTGACTCTTGCGTCGTGGAGATACCTGCCGCCTCCAGTGCACTACGTAACGACTAATTTACATGATCTTGCGTGCGGTGCGGGAGATCGATTGAAACGGACGCTCATTTTCGATGCCCGAAGCAAGTTGGACAATTTACTTTCTTGCGTCCACGCGAACAAGTCACGAAATGTTTTCTGTTGCCAAACTAGGTCTTCTGCTCCCAGTTGCCAATGTGGACGTTAATTTGCTGCATGTCGGGCGTCATCTCCTGAAGCATAGACGGCGCTTTAGAATTTGTATACTTGGTGCCGTCTATAGGGGATAAAAGCTTGCTGCTTGCGCCAAGGTTCTGCTGCACTGAACAGCCTCGTTAAGCTAAATTCTTGTGTTTATTCATGCATTGGATCGAGTGCTCAAGCATCAAGCTACTCCGCTAGAGCTCGATGTGTCGTGTCTTTGTTGGAGCTATGGCACAGAGCCATATCGTCCTTCTGCTGGATCGCATCGCATCGAATGAACAAGAGATTATGCGCCACGCTTTTTGGGGACATTTGCAACTCCAATGTCGCATTCGTAGCTCTCGATTAGATGTGCAGTCCAGCAGTCACTTGCGCTCGTGACTTATGTGATCCAGACTTTATGAAAGGTCGTCGAAGTGGATTGACCATTATCTGTCAAACTATTAAAGTGATCACGATGTATACGGGTTAAGCCGAATGTAATCTTCAAGCTTACGCTCGTCGAAGGCCCTACTGTACAGCATGCCGTGCACGACAACCACATGCTGTGTAAATACCCTTGATGCCTCAGCCACAAGCTCGTCCTCTGCGCGATAAAGTGAGCACCTGTAACTGCAATCGGGGATGTACAAGAAGTTCAAGATGCAGAGCTTGAGGCTTATTCGAGCAGTGGCTTGGCATTTACATTGATGGAAGACAATCTGTTCCGACACTAGACGTCGTTTGCAGCTCCATCATTCCGATGCGGCGACCACTCCAGGTCTTTGTAATTGCTCAGCTCCTCGATCGCACCGATGTGTATCACTGCGACCACAGCTGCTTCCGGATCGCTAGTAGGCAGTGGGCCATATGTTTCGATGCCATCATGATGCCTGCAAGACGTGTTTGTTCTCGCTGTCCAGTGCGCCATCGCCCCGCAGCAGGGCGCTCGGCCGCACAACAAGTGGTATGCGCCACATGAAGCCAATACACCACAAGCGTCCACTATGTGATAAGCCGTGTGGGATATCCTAATGACTGCAGACATCGACTCTCGTTGCCGTCGCCTCCCCTTGACACACCACCGACTTGCCCAGTGCAACTATCTCTACGGTAGGTACCGAGAGCAGCACCATGTGACAAGTAAACTGCGACGACAGCCTCACTGAGCGAGCTGCTGGTAATGACAGTACCGAGTTGTCAGGACAGTACGATTGCAGCAGGCTACGCGGCACCGATTCCAGTACGTGGCTGGATTCTCGATCATTTCGACAAAGTCTAGATGTTACCGACATAGTCAGGATACCGTCTCGCTTTGTTACACCTGTCGACGTAGGATCCACCGCCTCATCCCGTGTTCAAAGTGAGGCAATACTGCCAACCTAATCAATAATTTGAAACAGAACGTGCCCAACAAGCAGCGCCGCCGTACTTCATCGCGACAATCGCAATGAATGAACACGAGCGGCGACTTAACGTGACAGATCACGACCCCGAATAACAATAAAAACATCATCAATTCTACTACCGCGAACAAAGATTTAGCTACGTGATCGATCGCTATTCGCCGTTCCGCTATTTCTTTCCACCCGCCTCACTGGAACTCGCACATCCATTTCCACCCTCCTCGTCATCCCGGCCACCCTCACAATTCAAAACGCCGCCTCACTCCCATTACCAAATGTCATGCATGCGTCACCCGTGCCCCTCGTCCTCCTCGCTCTCCTCGCTCTCCTCCCACAGACGCCTCGGTCCGTCGCCGTCTCCCCTCCCCAAACAACCCCATGCGACCCGCACTACGAGCGCCGCAACGCCACCACCGGTCGCTGCGACTGTCGCGAGGGGTTCCACGGCCTCAACTGCCGCATGTGCACGCCGCCGAGCTCTTCGTCCTCGTCAGTCCTTGACAGCTGTCACGCCCCGTTTGGCCCGAGCTTTGCGTGCGTCACGGGCCTCGTCTACGACGTCCACGCGTCCCTCAAGACGTACGACTGTGTCCTGGCGTCGAACCTCCAAGCGCTCGTGCCGGATGGCGCGTTGGCCGTTCAGTGCCACCGGAACGAGCACCTCGTGGCCAACTGCTCGGCAGCTGTGTACAGCGCCAAAGACTCGGCGAACCAGACGCGCGAGCACGTGATTGACTGCCACTTGACGCAGTGCACGTTCGCAACGGGGGCGGCAAGTGGGGCGTGTCGAGAGATCCGCTGCAAGTGCGGCCCCCAGTGCTCGGCCATGACGAGGGCGATCGTGGAGCGCGTGCTCAGTGGCAAACGAGCGGCTATTGACGTGACCAATGGCACGCACTTGGCCATTGACGTCGAGGGGTCACCGATTCCATTGGCAGCTACGTGTGAAGCATCGGCTTGTGAACGTGGATCCAGTGCAAGTGGCAGTAGCAGTGGCAGTGGCAGTGCTTCAGGAGGTCCTGACGGTTGGAGACACTGGAGTTGGACTGTCATTGCTTCAGCTTTGATGGTTGGGGGGCTTTTAGGCGTAACGTGGCTAAGTTCGTGCTGGAAAAATACGGGGTTGGACTGCCGGACGACGCGGACACGACAGAAAGAGGTGGAGAAGGGACTTGGTGGGTCGCACTTTGTGCGTACGCTGGAGTTCCGTCGCATTAGCTGCTCTGCTGAGTGTAAACAACCGTTGTCGGGGGCGTGCAAACCCATTTTGCACGAGATTTCGGGGAACGTGTCGCACGGTCAAGTGCTTGGTCTATTGGGACCGAGTGGCTCGGGCAAAACGACGTTATTGAATGCACTGGCAGTTGTGGACAATGGGCAGTGTCAGGTGACGGGGGACTTGCTGCTGGATGGCAAGCAAGTGTCAAGTAGCTATCGCCGCATTGCTGCCTATGTACAGCAGGATGATACACTCTACTCGACGCTGACTGTACGTGAATGTATTTCGTACTCGGCGCAGCTTCGTCTCTCGGCAATGCTGCTGAAAGAGGTGAAGAATGCAAGGGTTGATCGCGTTATTGCAGAGCTCAATCTTGGCCATGTCGCGCACTCGCGTATTGGATCTGTGGGAGGAAGCAGCGGTCGACGTGGAGTTTCTGGGGGTGAGAGAAGACGTGTGAGCATTGGCATGGAACTTGTTACGTCGCCTCAAATTCTCATTCTTGATGAACCCACGTCTGGACTCGACAGTTCCTCTGCACATGCGGTTGTGCAACTTCTGAAAGACCTTGCAAGCCGCGGACGCATCGTGATTTTAAGTATACATCAGCCGAGCGCGAGATCGTTTGTACTACTTGACAAAATTCTCCTACTCGGCAAAGGAAAAGTGTTGTATAGTGGAGCGCCAGCAGAGTCCAGATGTTACTTTGAAGACCTCGGGTACAAGTGTTCTGAAGTAAGTGTGGGCATGATGCAAGTTTGTTCTGCGGCCACAGATGAGCTAACTGTACCGTGATTATTGTTGTTTGTATGTAATGTATAGCATGAAAACATTGCGGACTTTATACTCGACATCGCGTCTGATACGAGGAACATGCCGATGATTCGGTCTCTAATGAAACAGGATGAAGTCCCCTCTCGTCAGCGTGGCATTGTACCACGGCACACATCAAGCAGTCCTACGTCAAAAATGGAGACATCATTGCTTCTGGAAGAAGACTTGTTGCTGGACACCCCGCGGATCGAAAATATCGTAATTTCACCACTTGGAAGCAAAACGCCTGACGAAGTAAGCACGTTGAAGATGTCAGCGACGTCTCCGATGTTGTGTAGCCCGCCACCTGAGTTTATCGCTGCAGCCAAGACGGATGCAATTGATTATGACACGGAGGCTCCGCCCCGATCGATTGTGGTTGAAGTCCGCGTATTGTTCGTGCGCACGACGCAGAACATTCTCCGTCACCGCTCGTTGTTGGTGCTGCATGTCGCACTGAGCTTGTCGTTAGCCCTCTTTGGCGGGCTAATATTTAACCACGTGACCAACGATCTGGCAGGCTTTCAGAATCGTATGGGCGCGTTCTACTTCATTCTCACTTTTTTTGGCTTTGCAAGCATGAGTTCTATGGACCTTTTCATCTGCGAGCGCCCGATTTTTCTACGGGAGACTGGTGCTATGTACTACGGAGCTTTTAGCTACTTTCTCGCTAAAGCCACGCTAGATACCTTGCTTTTGCGGATACTGCCGGCATTGCTCTTTGCAAGTATCTTTTACTGGATGATGGGGCTGCAATCGTCAATGACGCGCTTCTTGATGTTCTCACTTACGTTGGTGCTCTTCAACGTCGCGGCTGGTGCAATCTGCCTTCTTGTGGGCGTGTTATCACGACGTGTCGGGCCAGCAAACCTTTGGGCGACTGTGGTGCTTCTTGTCATGTTGCTGTTTGGCGGCTTCTTGCTCAACTCGCAGACGATGCCGACGTCAGTGGGCTGGATGAAGCACCTATCGATCTTCAGTTACGCATTTGAAATCCTCATGACCAACGAGCTGAAAGGCCTGGTTCTTGAGTTTGACGCCCCAGGGTACCCGGCCGTTCCTATTTACGGTGAAGTTTACCTCAAGACACTCGGCATGGACTATGCAAATCGATACTACGACGTGGCAGCTCTCACTTTGATCGCAGTAAGTCTACAAGTACTGGCTTTCTTGTTCTTGTCACTGCAGGTCCCCCTTCCCCGTGATATTGCTGATCAGCACATGGACAATGATATGCCGCTGTCATGCAAACAAAAAGTATAAGGGAGACGTAGTGGTAAGTAAGATTATTTTTACAAATCGATCAGTCAAGTCCATCAGTCTTGCAGACCATGTGACTGCTCAATATGATATCCATGTATTTGCAGATTCACAACGACCGTGTTTTTACTTTCGTGCTTTGTACCTGATGGTAACTACTACCGGCCATAGTATGATCCGATGCTAAGATTCCACTGACACTCTCCCTACGGGCGTCTGCAGCAATAAGTGAATAGCTGTTCGGCTACGCCAGCGTAAGCACGGCCCTTTAAATTTTGCTACAGAACCCGATCTCTTCTTTCCGCAGATCTACGCAGGAACAGACTTTTTTCTCCTCAATCAAAATAGCATTCTCGTTGTAATGCGTTGTACACACGCATTGCTTCCATAAGGGTGATCAACATCCACAAATAATTTGTAAGAAAATCTCCGCACTGAAAACCTTTCTCACACGTACTGAGTACGATCTAGCCGGTCCCCTTTCATCGGTAAGTACATCGAAGTCACACTTTGCCAGGTCATTCTAGCAGTGCACGCTTGATTGGCTTTAGATTAGTCAGAGGTGAATATGATCACATAAGTAAATTCTGGACGCTTGTAAGCAAAGGCTGATCGCACTGCTTGATTATACTGTACCAATTAAATACATGCGTTGACAGCATCATACTACTCCTTCAGTTACTCCTGTTTTATAGCGTTTTGTAGCTGATTTCAGTTCTCCGAGCGAAATTACTTTTATCAATGGGCGAGCTCCAGAGCTTGCTCCCCTATCCTACTTTATCTAGCCCCCGTAAAGAGTCACATACAGTACGTACCGAGGTCTGAGTCTGATAGTTTCACGTGATGACCGAATGTTGAGCTTATGCTTTACTAGCACTGTAAAATAAAAATCCCATACTCCGTGTGTCTTATTCCAAGACGACCAGATCGTCACAGACGACCTTGCGCTTACATTTTGGATTCTGCAATTATAAAAGTTTTACATAAGAATAGTGTTAAACACTGCGCGCTATGGCTAAAACCATTACGGATAAAACATTGAGCCATCGAACCTACCGACGTAACTAACAAGCATTCTGGCAACTTGGGCATATGACCACCATCGCGATCCGTCTCTAAATTTTACAGCGATAGCGGGAAGAAACGTGAAATCTACTACCTTCTTGCTACGAGATAATTTAAAATAGTTTTAATTATTATACTCTGCTGCATACTTTAAAGCAGGAGCTAAAAGCAAGCCTTTTTCTTTTAGCTCCACCAATACATTTTTTTCACCACACCAGACAGAGACTTTTTTTATAAAAGTGGTGAAAAAAATGTGGCAAGTTTTGGAGCTCGCCCTTACATAAAAATTTTATCTGGAGAATTGAAATAAAATCCGGAGTAGTACGCACCCATTTTTGGGTGGTTGACCTTTTACGGAATGGATTTGCTTTGTACGGTAGATATTAGCAGTGCTAATGGACTTTTTGTGTTACGACTACCCGTTGATGTTTCGAATGTTTAAGAGACGATATGATGTACAAGAGACGAGGGCGATCCTGCACATTGACGCCGGCCACCACAAAGTGCGACCGACGACACATAACTGATTTATGGAAAAAACTAGAATCTGAATTGAGGAAGCTCCGTCTGCCATGGAAGACAAAGTTGACCATACCTACTTTTTGCGATATAAGTTTGTAAGGATAAAAAAGGGTTACGGACCGACCACTGCTGTCGCCAACAACTCAAGTAGCTCCTTACCGAGCGCGGTAAAATGTTCGACCCACATACGTCGTTTTGGTGAACAATTACGAACACAGCGTACATAGGAAGACACAATAGAAAAGAGAGAACAATTAACGTCAGTGATAATCGCGAGTAATTTCATGTATTCAGATTGCAATCGTTATCGATGTACTTATGCACCAGCCACAGCCAACAGTGATAATCAACCGTTTCAAATGTGAAGATCTCCGGCGTGATTGTGGTAAAGTGGATCAAATTAAGATGGAATAATCAATACATTTTTTTTTTTTTTTTTATCAACTCGAGAAATGCGTTGAGTCCCTGAGGATGGCTAATGGCCATACGGGCGCGCAGAGAGGGAAGGCGAAGGAAGCAGGTATTACAAAATGGAGAGAATATGGATCACCAAATAAGTCAATATCGAAGTTAACAGTACCGGGGTTAAAATGCTACGCTTCCAAGGTCATATAGCATATCATTGATAGTGAAAGTCACAAAACCAAGCTCAAGGAATGTGAGATTACAACATCGGTGATAGAGGGAACAAGATAAAATTGAAAAATCAATGGATAAGTGATTACGATAATGTCGATGTGTTCAAGAGAGAGCTATCGTTATCAAGCGGTACGTGGCTAAAAGTAAGGGGTACTTAATCAAGATCGAGGGGTTTTGCGATCTATATCGAGTTACTTGATCAAGATTGAGGGCGACGGATTTAAAGCAACCGATTAATACTGTAATTACGTAAGACAGTTGCAAATTAAGTAGATAAAGACATGATCGATGAAACAGGGATGACATTTTGCAGAAAATCTGACATATCGATAGGCAGGAAAGTTGTATAAGAATTTGGTCTTTTAACATTATAGATTTGATTTTGCTTCTGAAGACAGCTGTCGATTTCTCTAAAAGACTTACTAGTTGCCCTTCCGACGTTCAAACAAATTAACATACTTTATAAAGGCAATGCCCCTAAATTGCTTGGAAAATGATCAAAACTCTCAAAATACCTTGAACTGCGATTATACGCAGACATTAATTAAGGGAACGGTGCAAGACTGAGAGACGGCTGAAGCGTTTAGAAAGTCAAGTGGGTCAAGTACCTATCTACATTAAAAGTAATCTCGTTAAGACCGTAATGACTACCACCATGCATTATACATGAATATCCGTAGTCGTGTAGAGTTTTGTGCACGATCACTCCGACCTTCTTCTTAAACACAGACAAGCTTTCTCTCGCCACGTGTCCACCTGGAAATATGCATGAGGCTCTACTGACGGGTACATAAGCTGATAATAGAAACAATTACGGAAACGGAATTCCCTACCGACAGTAGGTTTCTGGGATATACCGGAGAGATGCAATTGCAAGAATATTGCACTCACGGTCGACGACATGACTAAAGCGAGAGGTCCAAAATGTCGCAGAAAGATGAAACCTTTGCATATCGTGCTTGACCGAGATGCAAGGTTCTTGATGCTTTCAATTGTTAATGTTAAGAGTATCCATCTTTCATCCCCCGTGTATTGAGCAAGTCATGTGTGCGGGCATTTACAAGTGCTTATGGCACAATTTATTTAGCTGGCCACAATTAGCGACCTATTTATAAAGGTACATGGATGGAATCTATGTACTTACAAGACAACTATATGCTACATCTCACGCAGTTAGGCACGTGTCGTGCACATACCATTTATAAAAAACTTAGAGAAATACAGAAAGCTAGATAGTAGGGATCGACTATTTCTGAACTCACCCTTTCTGCAGCCTCTTATATATACACCGTTCGAGCTCGCATTGAGAAAGCAACATGATCGTAGGCATCTAATTGGTCAGATTGTAGATTCATGCATCTTTGAAAAAACATCAACAACACGCTTCTTTCCTTTTACAGAGCACAACTAGACTTCCTTATATATTTAAAACATGGATTTCTTCGAATGTCAAATAGCTATTTGAATGTTTGGACCATGCTGGTGACGCGCTGGCAGACGCGACACTGCATGTTCTTTATAAACAACCATAAATGGCCAAATGTCAGGTTAAACAAATAGATAGTATTTATTAGTTAAATATTACGGCACATCAAATGTCTGTAGTAATGATACTGCCGCAGCTATCGCAACAAAAAGCTAGTAATGTGACTGAAGTATTCAGTATATTATCGTATATTGAAACTGCAAAGATAAGATCTGTAAATTCCTGTTCTTTTTTTTTGTGGTCAATTGGCCACTTCCATACTTAAAATAAACGCCTATAAGCCATTTGGCCATGCACTTGTATTTGGGCTTGCTGTGCTTGTTATCACATTAATACTATGTGTTGATCTAGCAACTGTCATGATAATCATTGACGGGTTATCCGTCATTTCCATGCTATAATTCTGAAATTTATATGTCTAAAGCTTTTGCATTCAATCACGTGTCTCAGAATGTATGAATCTGTCTTTAGTTTGGTGAACAATCCATCCTGGCGCCAACAAATGTACAGCTTCCTAAAAGTTGCTATACGAACGTATGGCCCTAACCGGCGTAGCAGAAGTAATTTATGAAATTGCATCGACCTCTCCCAGGCCTTTAATCCCACAGCAACGAAATGACTCCAATTTAAGTTCTTAATTTTGCTTACGTTTGGTAGTTCTGCAACACCAGAGATATTTTTTCGGCTGCATGTCATTGGCTCAGATATTTAAGATCAACTTATCTTATGAGCTTAGATCAGTTCCATCGCATAGGATGTGGTTAACGAAAGTAACAATAATATACCGTCGAACACGTCGAAAGTCAAATCGATACAGGAAAGATTAAAGGTTTATACTTAACAATTCACTCAGTTTAAATTTCTACCAGCCATATTAGGCCATAGTTATGCACGATACAGTTCTAATGAATGCTGCAAATTTTTCCGTATAAGTTAAAGCGAAAGTTATACTGAGTTCAAATTGGTGCACATAAGGGTATGCTGTACTCACTGCTAAAAAAGGGTGTAATGCGATAAGGCCCGTAAGACGATATTGAGGGATCAATCTCGGTTAAATTGTGCAGTTTCGAACCATGATAATAATTAGCTTTTTCAACTTATTACAAGATAAAACACACATTTTAGCATTCAGAAAAAAATTGTAGCTCGCGCAAGTGACTGATGCCGATATAGACGCATGTTGCTTGATAAAAAAAGCAATCACTGGTGAAGGTATGCCACAAGTAGGCATGGATTTTTTCTGACAGCCTTGAAATTACAAACACATACACAATCTAGATGACGCGAGAAA